AATTCAAAGGTGTTATCGTCACATGCTCAGCGGCTTCAGTGTAGAAATGGCAATGAAATTAATGTGACAGGAGCTCCTCCAACGATGCAACATAAATAATCAAATGCAAACAAGAAAATAGTGCTAGAAGTCTGTATACATGTAAATAGAATATGAAATGTTCAAGAACAGAATATGAAATTAAATACGGTTTATTGCGGTGATAACTATTTCTATAAGTAAGTAGATTGCAAGATGACAAACAGATGAATTGTTATCAAGGCAATCTACTAATTTATGTAAGTAGTTATCACCGCAATAAACCGTATTTCATTCTGTCTTAATGTACATTATTTAATTTCATATTGTGTTCTTGTACATATCATATTCTATTGACATGTATATCGTGTATATAGTGCAGGTGTTTAATAGTCCTGGGATGAAACTGTCCTGGTGGTTTTTGTCCTAACGCTGCGTAATATTATTTAAGGAGTTCTTCCAGGTCCTCAGATGTGTCAGCTCGATGGCGTCAGACTCCAGAAATAATCTCCCCTCCCACATTAACCTGTACCCCCCCCCCCTGTGCAGGAAGAGCTCCCCCTACAGGACTCTGGAGCCGGTGCGCCCCCCCGCGGTGCCCAATGACTACGTCTGCAGCCCCACCAGGAATAACCCTGTTGCCGGGCAGATTCCCAGCCCCCCCCGCACCGCCTCCCTCCACCACCGCCCCCGAACACACAGGTAGAGGGAGGCGGGAAACAAACATGGCCGCCGCCTCCGCCTCCTCTTCTTCTCTCTAACGTCGTCTTTTCTGATCCAACATGGCTGCCTTTTTGTAGTTCTTTTGCGAAAGTACAGATTTTGTACTTGTCTGTTTGTCTAGTTTTGATGTAGACGATTAATTTAACATGGCCGCCGCTTCTTCTTCTTCGTCTCCCTAACGCCGTCTTCACTTCCACTCTGATCCAACATGGCTGCCTTTTTGTAGTTCTTTTGCGAAACGGCAGATTTTCAACTCGTCTGTTTGTCTAGTTTTGGTGTAGAGGCTTAATTTAACATGGCCGCCTCGTCTTCTTCTTCGTCTCTAACGCCGTCTTCACTTCCACTCTGATCCAACATGCCTGCCTTTTTGTAGTTCTCTTTCAAAAAGGCAGATTTTTTCACGTTTGTTTGTCGATTCATTTAACATGGCCGCCTCTTCTTCTTCTTCGTCTCTAACGCCGTCTTCACTTCCACTCTGATCCAACATGGCTGCCTTTTTGTAGTTCTCTTTCAAAAAGGCAGATTTTTTCACGTTTGTTTATCGATTAATTTAACATGGCCGCCTCTTCTTCTTCGTCTCTAACACCGTCTTCACTTCCACTCTGATCCAACATGGCTGCCTTTTTGTAGTTCTTTTGCGAAACGGCAGATTTTCAACTCGTCTGTTTGTCTAGTTTTGGTGTAGAGGATTAATTTAACATGGCTGCCTCGTCTTCTTCTTCGTCTCTAACGCCGTCTTCAATTATCCAACATGGCCGCCGCCTATCCTTCTCCGTCTCTAACGCCGTCTTCACTTCCACTCTGATCCAACATGGCTGCCTTTTTGTAGTTCTTTCGCGAAACGGCAGATTTTCAACTCGTCTGTTTGTCTAGTTTTGGGGTAGACAATTAATTTAACATGGCCGCCGCCTCTTCTTCTTCGTCTCTAATGCCGTCTTCACTTCCACTCTGATCCAACATGGCCGCCTCTTCATCCTCGCAGCATCAACTACTAACGGACTCATTCATTAATTTATTAACATTCACTTGCAGCTTCATTGACTCTCTGTTTATATGTGTTGGTGCTCTTGGTGGGAAAAGAAAAACTGTTATTTTAAGTTAATTTAAAGCTCTTTCTGTTCTTGGAAATAATTTAGAGCTGTCCTTTTTACTACTGTCGTTCTTCTCCCTTGTGAATCATTTGGTTCACAAAATGTGGAATATTTTCCTAAATCTGGCGTCTCACAGTGTTGGAAATCTTAATGTGTTTACCACGTGTAGTTTGCAGGTTTAGCTGACGACACCGCTCTTCAATTTACACATTTAACATTTTAATTTGACCAATTTTAATTTTGATTCAAATCTTTTTTTTAAATATTTAAAAAAACATCTGATCAAATTAAAAGTGATTGCTTAACTTTATTTAATTTTTTACTATTTTATTTATTTATAAATATGTTTAACTTGTTTCTTTATTTCATATATGTATTTGCTATTTTAATCAGTGAATATGAAAAATGTACACAACTGTCTGCCGTCCAATCACAGCGCAGCTCCTGGAATTGTTCTCATCCAACCAGCACCTTTCCTTTGTCTGTCAGCCAATCAGATTCTTTCATTTCTGCTGTGCCAACATTAACCCTCACTGCTGCTCTTCTTACAGACTCTGCTTTTATTCTGAAGGTTCTCTACAGGCAGCTGACTTCCTGTCTGCTTTTATTTTGTTGATTTTCCAACTTTTATTATTTGTGTTTCATTTTGCTCTAACGGCCGCCTTCTTCATGATGTGTGTGTGTCCTAAAGTGCTTAAGTTAAATGTGTGTGTGTGTGTGTGTGTGTGTGTGTGTGTGTGTGTGTGTGTGTGTGTGTGTGTATGTGTGTGTGTGTGTGTGTGTGTGTGTGTGTGTGTGTGTGTGTGTGTGTGTGTGTGTGTGTGTGTGTAGTGGCAGCAGTGGGGGTAGCAGCAGCAGAGAGAACAGCGGCAGCGGCTGTGTGGGACTCCCCATCGCCGTGCCAACACCCTCCCCCCCATCCACCTTCCCAGGTAACACACACAGTCGCACACACAGTCACACACACACACACACACACACACACACATCTGTTGATTGGTTTTAAATTGAACTTATATGGATCATATTAAAAGACAGATTTAAGGTTTATTTATCTCTTAATATCTTGTATAAAAAAAGTTAGTTTTAATTGTTTTTCAGAATAAATATCACTCTTTGATATTTACACTTAATTAACTCCCTGCTTCCTTCCTTCCTTCCCTCTTTCCTTCCTTCATTTATTACTTTATTACTTTCTTTACCTACCTACTTCCTTCCTACCTTTCTCAATCCTTCCTCCTTCCTTCCTCCTTCCTTCCTTCTTCCTTCCTTCCTTCCTTCCATACTTAATTTTCTCTTACTTACTTACTTCCTTCCCGCCTTCCTTTTTTCCTCAATCTTTCCTTCCTCCTTCCCTTCTTCCTCTTTCCTTCCCTCCTTCCTTCCGCCTTCCTCTCTTCCTCCCGTCTCCCTTGTTTCCTTCCCTCCCTGTAGTGTCTCCCACTGCAGGCCCCCCCAGCTCCTCCTCCACAGCTCCTAACTCCTCCCCCTCTCCTTCCCCGACTCCTTCCTCCTTCTCCTCCTCTTCCTCCACTGCCACTCTAACACACCCCGGCGCTCCCTTACTCCCTCAGTATCCCCCCCAACACTCCCCTCCTCCTCCTCACCCAAACACCCAATCAAACGCTCCCTCCTCCAACACTCACCCGTCTGAGGGAGATCCGCCTCCTCTCCTTCCTCCCTCTCCTCCCTCCTCTTCCTCACCTCCTCCTGATGAAGGTGAGTGTGTCCTCCTCCCTCACCTGCCCCCTTTCTCCTTATATGAAGAGAAATATCACCCGACACTAGTATGAACACTTTTATAGCCCTTATTTAAATCATTAGGTCCTTAAAGTTGTAAAATGCGCTTAAAGCTGAATCATCCATTAATTCTACTGAGCCGAGGGGGCGGGGCTTAATGGCAGGGGCGGGGCTTACGGGGAAACTTTACTCTGCTCTATACAGATGTAGCACCTCATTTCAGACTCCAGCTTACAGCTTCCTGCCTACGACCAGTATCGAGGAATGTTAAGCCCTCCCACTATTTTCCAAGAGGGCGTGGCCAGATTTTCAATTTCAGGTTTTAACCAGGAGATGGCGCTTCATTCACAAATACAGGAAGACAAGTTTCATGGACTTGCAGTTGTGTTTTGAAGAGCATTTGAACACATCAATATTTTAGATCAACTAAAGTATATCTAATCTTGTAATTCAATAATATATAGTCTTCATATAATAAATAATCATAATAATAATGTAAATGTTTACATTACACTTCTTTATTTGTTATGCTCATACTTTTACCTTTACAAGGGAGGGAGGCGTGTGGTGCAGTGGGTTGTGAGTTGGTATTCGGATCAGGAGGTCACAGGTTCAAACCCCACTGCAGTCAGCATGTCGTTGTGTCCCTGAGACGCTTCACCCCAAAGTGCTCCTGTGGGGATTGCCCTCAGTATTGAGTATGTAATAAAAGCGTCTAACAAGTAACATGTAATGTACAATCGTTTGCTTTAATATGCAGTATATTTTTTGTATATTTTTGTGTTTGCTTCCTCCTGCTCCCTTCCGGACACATACTGTATGATTTATTATTATTATTAATATGAAGATATTATTAAGATAAGATGTTACTTTGATTGAACATGTTAGTTTAGGATGTGCTGTCCCGGTAACTCAGAAGGCTCACAGGTCACATTCCAACCATCATTTAAAACAATAGGTGCTTTCACACCGTCTACAGTTTGATTTGTTTAGAGGGAGCTGCTGGAGAAGAAAGATCAGGGGGAGGGGGGGAGAGAGCTGTTAATATTGGGAGTCATGTCGTTACTTTGTTGAGAATGTGGCCGTGTAATAAGCGGGATAATGTGCAGCGACTTGTTCCTTATGGGGAAAATAACACCCTTCATGCAGATCAGGATCTGCCGACGAGGCTCCATTAAAATATAAATATCTTTAGTGAATTACTGAGTTTAGGCTCGTTAATAACTTTTGAATGAAGTTGAATACAGTATATTCATATGTGTCAGTGATTTCCGGTCAATTTGGCGAACATAAACATAAATGATCGAAGATGATGATTAAAAATCGAGAGCCGGGCTGCATTTCCTCCCGTTCGTTTCTTTCCGACTAAACAACATTATTTTGTTAAATAACAACATGGTGATGTTTTGTAAATGATTCCATGTCTCTTATTTAGCACAGAGTATGATATCCGTGACATATGGATCTGAACAAAGTTCCGCTGTACATCCAGCGTACTGTATCTGACTTTATTTCACATGAGCTCCAGTGTGGAACCCCACTGCACCCCCTGGTGGATCAATGATCCATTGCAGCTGGCTTCATTATAATTACATTTATTCATCACGGGGGAGGTCTCAAGTCAAGCTGGAGGTTTTCCCTTGAGCAGATCACGTACCAATCACGGCCCTCGCGTTTCAAACTGTCCGAAATTAGGTGCTACATCTGTAGAGAGGCGAAGTCACACCCTCCTACTTCCGCCCCATGGGACCTTATTTCTGAAAAATTATGTATTGAATTCAATGGAGAGAGAAAATGTATCTTTCGATCCCGTTTGAATTGTGCCATGAATTACAAATAAATAATTTCCATGTCAAAAAAGTCAGTTTGTCGTAAAACTGTTGAAATATAAGACTATGAAAAATATGCAACTAGAAAGACTACAAATCCCAGAATCCCGGTCCCGCATGCTGGCTCTTAAAGCCCTGTCACACTGTCCCGAAATTGACACCCGATGGACACACGATAAAGGAAATGTTCAAATTTGGCTGTGATCGTAGCAACATCGGGCCATTCGTGAGGGCATCTTAAGCCATCGTATGACCGCCGGTGGAGTTTCTCAGGCTCCGGCAGCAACTTCGTGAGCGGCAACTTCGTAAGGCACTCGTGAGGACATCTTGTCAAATCGTGTCATCTTCGTGTTATCATCGGTGCCATCGGGCATTCGCCCTCACTCTGATCGGGGCGAATGCCCGATGGCACAGATGATAACACGATGCCCTCACGATGGCCTTACGAAGGGCACAATTGACACACGAATTCAACACGAAAATGAACCTTCGCAAGGTCCTTCGGCAATTTTTTGGCATGCCAAAGATTTTGCCACCGCTCACGAAGTTGCTGCCGGAGCCTGAGAAACTCCACCGGCGGTCATACGATGGCTTAAGATGCCCTCACGAATGGCCCGATGTTGCTACGATCACAGCCGAATTTGAACATTTCCTTTATCGTGTGTCCATCGGGTTGTTTTATTGCACAACAAAATCATGTAAATATATTATGTAAATAACCCAATTTGTGTTCTGTGAAACTGAAAAGGATATAATATATTATTTTGAAGGACAGTTGACAGGAAGTTGTTGTTGTTATGGAAACAACATTACGGAGAAAACGTAATATTTTCTACATATAAAGACGGATAAAGTAAAGAACAAAGTCTGAAGATATCAGTACTGTATCATAGTACTGTAACATAATTGTTTTTGATACTTTCGTTGCAGTTGTATGTCTTAAATGTAATGTAAATGTTGCCTTCGTGTGTGGTTCGGGGCCATCTTCGTGCGAAATTCACAATTCCATATTCGTGTGTCCATCGGGTGTCAATTTCGGGACAGTGTGACAGGGCCTTTAGGAACCGACTAACTCCCCTTGTGTGTGTGCACAGCTCTCAACGTGCCCAGACTTGGAGTGATTTTCACCTCTTTGAATACTTTCCGCCTCATTCTGAAAGAAAGAAGTGAAATGTTTCAACATGACGACCGTCTGGGTGTGTGGTGCGAGATGGGACATGTAGCTCATTGAGCGGTTTCACACAAACAAAAGTGTTACTTCACAGTTTTACGACACATTTCAATTTTTTTGACTTGCAAAATTATATTTTAAATTGACAAACATCATATGTGTAATTCGTGGCACAATTCAAACGGGATCGAAAGATAATCTTTCTCTCTCCATTGACTTCAATACATACTTTTTCTGAAATAAGGTCCCATGGAGGAAAGGGAGGGACTTCGCCTCTCTATGAGCTCCATACGGGTACTTCTGCTCTGACAGCAAGGCATGATGGGTAATCTGTGACATTTTGCTCTCTAGAATCTCAGGGCATTTTGTCCACATGAGCCAATGAGCAGCTCTGATAGGAATGAACAAGCCCCGCCTCCTACGCTGTATCCAGTTCTTATTATCCATCCATGGTTAGCATGCTAACTGTGGGAATGCTAGCACTTTAGCAGAGCATCAGAGCTGCGTTCATTATGGGAGACGGTCAGTCACTAGAAATATTCCTCATTCAAATGTCCACATGTCTTCATTGGCCTAACACCACCCAAAGCCTATGGGCGTCCCTTCTTTGCCCCAACATAAGCCTCTACTGTCAGATAACATTATATAGTTCTTGTGGAAGATGATAAACAATGATTTTAGACGTTTGTTTTTCAACAGATCAAAAGACCCTGGTGTCTACAGTTTCAGTGCTTTCCTTGCTTTCAGATTCATTGAAGGATGAAGTGCTTCTGTGGGGGTCATGACCATTTTGAAACCTTAGGTCCTAAAGACCCTCTTGAAAAATAAAACGTGTCTTATATTGGGGTCAAAACGGTTTGTACAACCCTAACGTCTCTCTCTCCCCCCCAGGTAACACGGCGCCTCAGTTCTTCAGTATGAACCGTCCCACCCCCAGGCAACAGAACGCTCAGCTGGGCGGGTCTCTGCCCTACAGACGACCCCCTTCTGTCACCGGACAGCCAATCACAACGGAAAACCAGAATGGGGGGCCGTACTACAACCAGAGCCCAGGTGAGAGACATTGGGACAGTGCTGTAGTCAAGTCACCAATTCACGAGTCCAAGTCACTCTCGAGTCACCACTTTCCGAGTCCAAGTCTGAGTCACCTAGGGAGAGTCAAAGTCAAGTCCAAGTCTGAGTCACCTAGGGGGAGTCAAAGTCGAGTCTGAGTCACCTAGGGAGAGTCGAAGTCGAGTCCAAGTCTGAGTCACCTAGGGAGAGTCGAAGTCGAGTCCAAGTCTGAGTCACCTAGGGAGAGTCGAAGTCGAGTCCGAGTTGAAGTCTGAGTCACCTAGGGAGAGTCAAAGTCGAGTCCAAGTCTGAGTCACCTAGGAAGAGTCGAAGTCGAGTCCGAGTTCAAGTCTGAGTCACCTAGGGAGAGTCAAAGTCGAGTCCGAGTTCAAGTCTGAGTCACCTAGGGAGAGTCAAAGTCGAGTCCGAGTTCAAGTCTGAGTCACCTAGGGAGAGTCAAAATCGAGTCCAAGTCTGAGTCACCTAGGGAGAGTCAAAGTCGAGTCAAAGTCTGAGTCACCTAGGGAGAGTCAAAGTCGAGTCCGAGTCCATGTCTGAGTCACCTAGGGAGAGTCAAAGTCGAGTCCGAGTCCAAGTCTGAGTCACCTAGGGAGAGTCAAAGTTGAGTCCGAGTCCAAGTCTGAGTCACCTAGGGAGAGTCAAAGTCGAGTCAAAGTCTGAGTCACCTAGGGAGAGTCAAAGTCGAGTCCGAGTCCAAGTCTGAGTCACCTAGGGATTGTCAAAGTCGAGTTCAAGTCTGAGTCACCTAGGAAGAGTCAAAGTCGAGTCCGAGTTCAAGTCTGAGTCACCTAGGGATTGTCAAAGTTAAGTCCGAGTCCAAGTCTGAGTCACCTAGGGAGAGTCAAAGTCGAGTCCAAGTCTGAGTCACCTAGGGAGAGTCAAAGTCGAGTCAAAGTCTGAGTCACCTAGGGAGAGTCAAAGTCGAGTCCGAGTTCAAGTCTGAGTCACCTAGGGAGAGTCAAAGTCGAGTCCGAGTCCAAGTCTGAGTCACCTAGGGAGAGTCAAAGTCGAGTTCAAGTCTGAGTCACCTAGGGAGAGTCAAAGTCGAGTCCGAGTTCAAGTCTGAGTCACCTAGGGAGAGTCAAAGTTGAGTCCAAGTCTGAGTCACCTAGGGAGAGTCAAAGTCTGAGTCACCTAGGGAGAGTCAAAGTCGAGTCCGAGTTCAAGTCTGAGTCACCTAGGGAGAGTCAAAGTCGAGTTCAAGTCTGAGTCACCTAGGGAGAGTCAAAGTCAATCTTAGTGGATATACTTGTCTATTGAACTGCTGTGAAGCGAGTTTGGCTGCAATTCTTGTATAAAAGAGATTATATTTGGATGCCAATATTTTCTTATGGTAAAGTTTTCGTTTTGCACTTTTATTTTGAGAGTGATCGGGACTCTTCGTGTTATCGGCTGAATCTTTATTTATTGATTAGATCGCGTTACTCTGATGATTGTGTTCAACACAGCCTATATGTCTGAACTCGATCCTTAGAGTAATGTGTTACGGAGCCTTCTCTTCAATATTATTTCCACATAACGAGGATTTTGCTCTTTTCCAATGTGGAAGCAGAATGTGTGAAAGCATGCAGCACGATGCGGGGGGTGTCTCTAGACATCTCTAGACTGGAACAGCGGGGCCCGGTCCGTGAACTCGCAGGTGCACACGCCAGGACAGAGGACGTCAGACTCCAGAGAAAACTGGCTCGAGTCCGAGTCGGAGCGTCAATGTACAAGTCGAGTCCGAGTCATCGTGGGTTAAAAATTCCCGAGTCCGAGTCCGAGTCATCGTGGGTTAAAAATTCACGAGTCCGAGTCCGAGTCATCGTGGGTTAAAAATTCACGAGTCCTTGTCGAGTTACGAGTCCCAAAAATCAGCCCTCGAATCCGAGTCCAGGACTTGAGTCGGACTCGAGTGCTCCATCTCAATGATTGGGATATTATTTCGTGCATTTTCTGCACATAGAAAATGTTGAATCTAATGTAAAATGTGTGTGTGTGTGTGTGTGTGTGTGTGTGTGTGTGTGTGTGTGTGTGTGTGTGTGTGTGTGTGTGTGTGTGTGTGTGTGTGTGTGTGTGTGTGTGTGTGTGTGTGTGTGTGTGCAGCCTCCCCCCCCCCCCTCTCTGCTCCAGTTCAGTCCTCAGCTTCCTCTCATGGGCTTCGTGGCTCGAGTTCAGGAGACCAGTGAGTTATAACGTTTTAATTCTTGTTAATAACACTCTCTCTAATCAAATAAATCACATTTCATAAACTAGTCTCGGACATTTAGGTTTATTTCAGAAAGTGTTTTCAGGTATGCTTTAAAAAACAGTAATAATGTATATTCAAAGATGTTCTTGAGTGTTCCTGATGATGTTGTGTTTTCAGTCTCAGACGTCCCCCCTCCGCCCCACCCGGCTGCTGGGAGCCAATCAGAGGAGCCGCTGCTGAGCCCTCAGCCAATGGAGGAGCATGGTGAGGAAGAGGAGGATGCGGTGGTGGAGTACAGCGACCCGTACGCAGAGGAAGACCCTCCCTGGGCCCCCCGCACCTACGACGAGAAGGGTGAGCAACTCTTTAGTTCAGCACAGAACACACTCATGGGTCCAGGAGGGTCTCTGTTCAATCAGATGCTTTATTACCTGTTAGTCGTAATGAATAAATGCTTTATTACCTGTTAGTCGTGATGAATAAATGCTTTATTACCTGTTAGTCGTGATGAATAAATGCTTTATTACCTGTTAGTCGTGATGAATAAATGCTTTATTACCTGTTAGTCGTGATGAATAAATGCTTTATTACCTGTTAGTCGTGATGAATAAATGCTTTATTACCTGTTAGTCGTGATGAATAAATGCTTTATTACCTGTTAGTCGTGATGAATAAATGCTTTATTACCTGTTAGTCGTGATGAATAAATGCTTTATTACCTGTTAGTCGTGATGAATAATACTGCAGCAGGAATGCAAAATAGATGTAAGTACTCCCTGCTTCCTTCCTTCCTTCTTTACTTCCTTTCTTAATTTCTTCCTTCCTTCCTTCCTTCTTTACTTCCTTTCTTCATTACTGACTTACGTACTTCCTTATTTCCTTCCTTACTGACTTTCTTACTTACGTACTTTCTTCCCTCCTTCTTTACTTCCTTTCTTAATTTCTTTCTTCCTTACTTCCCATTACATTACATTGCATTTAGCTGACGCTTTTACCCAAAGCGACTTACAATAAGTACATTCGACCAGGAAGACACAACCTTGAAGAAAACAGAATCATAAAGTACATCAGGTTTCATAGAGCCAAACATTTCAAGTGCTACTCAACTGGCTTTAGATAAGCCAGTCCTTTATTAGTATATAAGTGCTTTGTTAATAGTTATATCGCTCGAAGTGGAGTCGAAAGAGATGAGTTTTCAGTCTGGAAGGTGTGTAAGCTATCTGCTGTCCTGATGTCAATGGGGAGCTCATTCCACCATCTTGGAGCCAGGACAGCAAACCCACGTGTTTCTGCTGATGGGAACTTGGGTCCCCCTCGCATCGAGGGTGCAGCGAGTCGTTTGGCTGATGCAGAGCGTAGTGCACGCGCTGGGGTGTACGGTTTAACCATGTCCTGGATGTAGGAAGGGCCAGATCCATTCGCAGCATGGTAAGCAAGTACCAGTGTCTTGAAGTGGATTCTAGCAGTTACCGGAAGCCAGTGAAGGGAGCGGAGGAGCGGAGTGGTGTGGGAACATTTAGGAAGGTTGAAGACCAGACGAGCCGCTGCATTCTGGATGAGCTGCAGAGGTCGGATGGCATATGCAGGTAGACCAGCCAGGAGGGAGTTGCAGTAGTCTAGGCGTGAGATGACGAGAGCCTGGACCAGAACCCGAGTCGCTTTCTGTGTCAGCTGGGGACGTATCTTCCTGATGTTGTAAAGCGTGTATCTGCAGCAACGGGTTGTAGCAGCGATGTTTGCAGTGAAGGACAGGTTGTTATCTAGGGTCACACCCAGATTCCTTGCAGTCTGAGTCGGGGAAACAACTGAGGTGCCGATGTTGATTGTTAGGTCAAGAGTGGGACAATCTTTTCCCGGAAGGAAGAGCAGCTCAGTTTTGTCAAGGTTGAGCTTGAGGTGATGAGCAGACATCCACTGAGAGATGTCAGCTAGACAAGCAGAGATGCGTGCGACGACCTGGGTCTCTGAGCGGGGGAAGGACAGAATTAATTGGGTGTCGTCAGCGTAGCAGTGGTAAGAAAAACCATGCGGGCTAATGACTGATCCGAGCGAGTTTGTGTACAAGGAGAAGAGGAGGGGACCAAGAACAGAGCCCTGATACTTGTAATAAACACCAGTGTTTGACATCAAAGTTCCAACTCTCCTCGTGTCTCTCTGAGTCCTGACTCTCCATTGCTGCAGAAGTTTCCCTTACAGTATTCACCCTAGCCGTGTAATAATGAATGCTACTGTGTTTGTCCCTGCAGTGGTGGCGATCTATGACTACTCTGCGGACAAAGAGGACGAGCTCTCGTTCCAGGAGGGCTGCATCATCTACGTGATCAAGAAGAACGAGGACGGCTGGTACGAGGGCGTGATGAACGCCATGACCGGCCTGTTCCCCGGGAACTACGTGGAGTCCATCATGCACTACGCCGACTGAAGCCTGCTTCCTGTTTGTCTGCGGTCACGAGAAGGTGTTCAGCCTCTCGGACCAAAAGGGAAAAGATACTCTGCATTCATAACAAATGAAATCACAAACAGAGTATAAATTATTTAGTTTTAATGATATTTCATTTCATTTTAACAAAAACATTTTCAGTTTTTGAGACACGTCGGTCTCACAACAGAGTACGCCAACAATTAGAAAGACTCCTTTGTTTATATCACTATGGAACACTTTAATGTTTTAGAATTTAGATTCAAATCAATTCACAAGAAGAGTAAAAATCGTAGTTTCAATAATATTTTAACACGTTTTTTTTAAGCAGCAGCCTGTTGTGTACGTACTCAACCTGCAGACTCACGCGTTTCACAAATCAGACGTTTCTAGGTTTAATTTCTCCCACAAAATAAAATAACTTCCACTTTTTAAAGTTATTCCTGCATCTCATTGCTCTTCTTCTAAGTCAGTCTTACTGATCAAATAGATCCACCTGAAGCTGTTTTAACTCTGTGTGTACCTGAACACAACGTCATGTTATTGATTTAATACGTCCCTCTGAGCTTTGCCTTATCAGAGAGCCTCCTTACTTTCTCAACAGCCTTATCTTCATCACAAAATGAAGGTATTTTGAAAAGACTTACAGATTAAATGTATGGTAAATGTACTGTACTTATAATATATCTCTTTATCAGGTCTTCTTAACCCCTCAAAGCTCACACACAACAGAATAAGGCCCCGGCCACAAGGAGACGATAACGAACCTTAGTCGATATCAAAAAAGTCTTCCGTCCACACGGAATCGGCTCAAGAAACGTGTCCGTCCACACGAGACCGCTCGACCCGCTGGAGACGCTGTAGTACATATACCGGGCCTGTAAGTGGCGCTGTACTTCCGCCACAAAATACACCAAAAGCAGCGAAGAAGACCCCCGAGCATGGTTGCCTGGTTGCCTGGTTGCCCTTCTGGTTATTCTCCGCGGTGGATTTAGCAACATGTAGTTCATGTAGTTCTCCAGGTCCACTTGTTGCTGATGGTTGTGGTCGAGGAGCTGTAGATGTTGCACTAACATCTGTATCATGGTCGGTCGCATCTGGAGCACGAACGCAGCCCTGTGATCCGCCTTTGTTGTTGTTGTTGTTGTTGGCGAAACGCATCAGCACTGACGCGGGGTGAGCAGGAGAGATGGGGAGAGGCGGGGCTATGGCGTCATCGATTCAGAAAATGATCGTAAAGGCGTAGACACGGAGCCGCAAGCGTTTCGTTACCAGACCTTCCCACTTTGGGATGCGTTATCGTTTCAGGGCTCCGTTTCCGCGGCTCCGTTTCCGCGGCTCCGTTTCCGCGGCTCCGCTTCGGCCTCGTGTGGACGAACCATCCATACGATAAAGAACTGTAGCGGATAACACCCGCTTCGTCTCCGTGTGGACGGGGCCTAAGAGACGTTAAAACTAAACTGCTATAGAAGAAAACAGCAGTGAGACTCAGTGAAGGAAATGGAAGTCATTAAAGGAGAAGTGAACCATAGATCTCAATAAATGTCAGTTTTCACCAGAAAAAACAACCAGTGTAAAAAAAAAACACATTATCTTTTGATTTATGAAGATTTTCTACAAAACAATCACCTTTTTTTTCATCAAAGCTGCATCTTATGTCATCATTTCAACTCATATATAAATCAAACATAAGCAATATTTAAAATATGATTTAAAGTCTCCACGGGAGGTTTTTCAACATTTCTATTTTACATGTATACCCCAAAGTATTGATATTTAGACAATAAGAGCTTTATTTACAGAGGGACAAAGAAGTAGAAGTTTTAACAGAAGGTTATTTGTGTTAATTTAGATCTAAATATATCAGATCAGTGGAGGGTTCACTAATCTATACCTAACTACCCCAGTAATTAACACATAAGGTGTCACTTTATTTTCTGCCCTCTGAGCCTTTTTCCTCGTGTTTTATTGGTGTTACCTGAACACAACGCCCGCTGAGATTGTGACTCGTTGAAGTGATGAAGTTTACAGTGTGTGTGCTGCATGCCTGATATACATTTATATATAATAATTATGATTATAATAATAACAGTTTTATAATCTTTGTATTTTTCTTTGTTTTTTGTTTCACCATCTGGCTCGTCTCAGCTGGAGGTGGTTTGGTTGTAATAGCCCTTTAAAAAGTGTGTGTGTGTGTGTGTGTGTGTGTGTGTGTGCGTGTGTGTGTGTGTGTGTGTGTGTGTGTGTGTGTGTGTGTGTGTGTGGTGTGTGTGTGTGTGTGTGTGTGTGTGTGTGTGTGAGCCCCCCCTCCTGTGGACTGAAGTGACTTTGGACCTGAAACAGTGTTTTCTTGTTGTTTATTGTTATTTAACAGGAAGAGTAAAAAAAACAGAGTACGCCAACAAATACAACCAGACTCCTTTGTTTACATCCCGAACATAGTGACATCACTGCGAAACACTCACGCTCCTATTGGCTAGCGCTCCAACACATTGTATATGATAGGCTAAGGGGCGGGACATCTCCTATCGGTTGACCAATCACAACAGAGCCGGCCAGCTAACCAATCAGAGCAGCTCTGGTTTCAGACAGAGGCCGTTTCTCAATCTCGAGGATACTGGCTTCCAAGCCAATATTTCAAGGATGCTACGTCATCGAGTGCCGCCGTAGTACCGTTCCAATGTCCAGCATACTTGGAATTCCACCGAGGCTGCGTCCTTGGTTTGGGGGAAATTTCGAGGCTGCACATGGGTAGACTTTGCGTCCTTAAAATCCCCACAATGCTTTGTTATCGTATTGTGGACGTACTCAAGAATGACATCGTGAGGTATTTATTTTCGGTACAGTTTATGTTGAAACCGTTAGAGAGAGTGGCACACTTGTTAGCCTGTTCCATTCTTCTTCGTTTTCCGAAGCCGTGGCTTGGAAGTATACTTGCTTCGTTTCTGAAGGAAGTGACTTGGAAGTACGCGACTACCAAGCCAGCATCCTTGAGATTGAGAAACGGCCAGAGGGTGAAAAGAGATGCTGCAGCACAGGCAGGATGGAGCATGGAGACATGTCACAGTAGAGACACTACATATATTCTTTGTATTTAGTTAGTTACTTAAATTCCTTCAAACATAATTAATTATGGGTTAGGGTAATGTTGTGAATCGAGTGGCCCATGGTGGTGGTGGGGTTATGGTATGGGCAGGCGTATGTAATGGATGACGAACACAGGCCACTCGATTCACAATATTACCCTACCCCTACCCCTCACACCAGATACTGACTGGTTTTCGGACCCTCCCAGACCCCCCCAATAAAGCAAAACTGCACGTTTCAGAGTGGCCTTTTATTGTGGCCAGCCTAAGGCACACCTGTGCAATAATCATGCTGTCTAATCAGCATCTTGATATGCCACACCTGTGAGGTGGGATGGATTATCTCGGCAAAGGAGAAGTGCTCACTATCACAGATCTTTCAGATTTGTGAACAATATTTGAGAGAAATGGTTATTTTGTGTATTTAGAAAATGTTTTAGATCTTTGAGTTCATCTCATGAGAAATGGGAGCAAAAACAAAAGTGTTGCGTTTATATTTTTGTTCAGTGTATAATATATGAATAAATATGTAAAACTGTACGTTACAATATGAACAATAGTGTCGTAATGTTCATTCTGAAAAAGCTCTCCTAGGTTAAGTGATTAAAGCCAAATAGGTAAATACAAAAACATAAGAATACAGTTGTATTCTTGTTGGCGTTCTCTGTTTCTCTTCTGCCTGAAGTGTCCCTTTAACGGAGTGAACCGGTTTCTCCGGCTGATTTCACCAGGAAGCTCCTCCTTCTTCCTTTATCTGAAACCAGCTCTATGAGTGTTTCTCAATGTCGAGGAAGGATGCTCCAGAGCCACTATTTCAAGGATGCTACGTCATCGAGTGCCGCCGGAGGACTGTTCCAATGTCCAGGATCCTTGGAATTCTACCGAGGCCGGCGTACTTCGTTGCGGGAAATGTTGAGGCTGCACATGTGTAGACTCCGCGGTCTTGAAATCCCCACAATGCTTTGCGCACGGACCAATTTCCAAAATCTTTGGCGGAAAATATAAGACGGGCCTCTCATATGACGCACACCTGCACACTTGCTAGCCTGTGAAGCGTCCTCGACATTGAGAAACACTGGCCGTTTCTCAATCGCGAGGATGCTGGCTTGGTAGTCGCATACTTCCAAGTCACTTCCTTCAGAAGCGAAGCAAGTATACTTCCAAGCCACGGCTTCGGAAAACGAAGAAGAATGGAACAGGCTAACAAGTGTGCCACTCTCTCTAATGGTTTCAACATAAACTGTACCGAAAATAAATACCTCACGATGTCTATCTAATTATGAACACATTTTTGGTGATAACAAACTCTCTCTAGGTCGTCCTCAGACGAGCCCTCCATCGTTGCTTCCAGTCATCCCGGTTCTCCATACATCTGGCCAGTTCATTGGTACTTTGTGCTCCTACGTCATTCTTGAGTACGTCCACAATACGATAACAAACAAATGTAACAAAGTCACATATTTACCAACACATGTTCTACGCCACTACATACTTACATTTAAATGTATGCTGCCTCGGTTCAGCCATTCTCCGCAAGGGTTTTTGAAATTGGTCCGTGCGCAAAGCATTGTGGGGATTTTAAGGACGCGAAGTCTACCCATGTGCAGCCTCGAAATTTCCCCCAAACCAAGGACGCGGCCTCGGTGGAATTCCAAGTATGCTGGAGATTGGAACAGTCCTTTGGCGGCACTCGATGACGTAGCATCCTTGAAATATTGGCTTGGAAGCCAGTATCCTCGAGATTGAGAAACGGCCACCCTCTGTTGGAAACCACTATGAGATGAAAGCGTTTTAATTTCTGCCGGATGCTCCTGGTGGGAAGTGATGTCTGGAGAAACTGATTTATAAACTCGACTGAAAGCACATCCTGTTTTGTAAGAAAAAAGTGAAATGACTCAGTAAATGTTCAAACAACTTGTCTGTGTCTTCTTTCATCTCACAGGAAGTCCAGATGCTTAAATATTAGTTACTCATTGTGTGAACTCTAGCTGTTCCCTGATGTCTACGGGGAGAACGGGAAGTCACAACAGACACTATAACCAGGAGATAAAAAGAAAGAGGAAACTGATTTGCCAAAAACTAAAAGAGGGCCAAGTTACAAGCTGAAGACAGAATAAAACAACTTTCTTACAAAAGAAAGAAAACCATAAACACTGTAAACAGATGCACACTCGTCAAACCAGTAAACACTAGTGATGGCGAGATGAAGCCTTGAAGCTTCTAAAAGGGTTCATCTCATGAGGCTTCATCTGAACAAACCCCCTGTTGGTCAAAGAGTGTAAAATAGGCCGATATGACATCTCAACAGTGAGATCTTTATATACCGAGTTCCCAATAGCTGCTTTCACACCAAGTACTTTGCCGTACTTAGTGCCCCGGCACTTAGTAGCCCCATGGAACTAAGTACCGATCGCGTTCACACCGCAATAAGTCCCTGAGGGAGGATTAGGCAAATGAGCAGCTGATGTCACTTCTTCTGCTTTGGGCTTACTGGCAGGCCGCAAACCACTTCACGGCGTATACTGCCACCCGGAGTCCCCGGCCGGAAGTCCCCGGAGTTGGGGAAGGCTTCAGTAGAAGCTGCTGGGACTCCCAGCAGCAAATACAATGGCGGCTTCACAAAACTTTTCAGAGTTTTACGGGGTGTGGTTTGCAATTCGCCCAGCCAATATAAATTGGTACTTTTTTAGTACCACCTCTCTAGCAGGCAAAATGGGGGTAAAAGTTCCCGGCACTAATACCTCATTCACACCAACGCAACTCCGGTTCAAGCTCCGTGCTAGAGCTTTTCAGGTTCAGAACCGGTTCTTTGGTTTAGCGGAGGCTCTTTTCACACCGCCCAGAGTCCGACCGGTGCTGCGTCATTGCGTCATCGTTTGCGTCATGACGTAACCGTTTGCGTGTCTGCTTCATAAAGCCAAACCGCGCGGAAACCCCTCACAGCTGACAACAACAACAATGGCCGATTGTGCTCCAGCTTCCTCTGTGCCTCTTCGGAAGACCAGATTCCCAGCAGGTAGCTGGTCTCTTCAGTGGACCACTGCTGCTTGTTAAGTTTCTCCATCATTGTGTACAAGCTGGATAAAACGCGGGCTTTTTGTTGTTGTTCAGGAGTTGATCCCGCCCCTGCCCCCGCCTCGACGTAAGCGTGACGTATGCGGTGCTTTTGTGCTGGCCGGACTATTTTTTGGTGCTTGAAACGAACCGGATTCCGGAGCTAAGAGGCTACTCCGCTGCGGTGTGAAGAGGAAAACCCGGTGCTTTTCAAGCTCCAGCTCCGAACCGGCCCTGAAACACCGTTGGTGTGAATGAGGTACTCTTTTTGGTGTGAACGCAACATAAGGGGTACTAACGGAACTAAACGGGAAAAGTACGGGGAAAAGTGCTCCAGCCTAATGAGGCCTTAGATTAGAATAACTAAATAAATCATATCTTCATGTGATCAATTTATATCAATATTGTATTTATTCCAGTTTATCAGTGGTGATGCCTTCAAGGTATTCAGAGAATACCCTGGAACACTCAGATAAAACAAACACAACATCGATTTAATTATGTTAAACAACCAATCAGATATTGATCTGGGAAGAATATCCTTCAATAAGGTATTCTATATCCTTGATAGAATGCCCTCACACTGAGTGAGAGCGTACGTTTGGATTGACAGTTTGATCAACCAATCATATATTGATTTGTAGGCAATGGGCGTGTGGGTTGCGCTGGAGCAGTGTTTCTCAAAGTGTGGTCCGTTTGCGCCTCCTAGTGGTCCGTGAGTATATTGATATGACATTTATTAATTTATTTAAGTTTTCCGCACTCTCGTGGTAATATCTCCGCAATGGAGCAAGCTTAAGTTTCGATAGCATGCTATAGCCCAGCGCCACACCTTCGTCAAACATGTTGCCACTTGTTTGTACCATTTTCAGGCGATTTGTAATCTGCTCTAGAAAAACGATGTGTTTTTGAGGATTTCAAGAAGCATATAAAACAAACAAATGTCGCGTTCACACCAAAAAGAGCCGGAACAAAAATGTGTTCGTCAGAACCTTTTTACCCCCTTTTCCGTCCCTGCTAGAGAGCAGCTACTTTCGTGATAGAAAAAGGTTCCTATGTCTGATTGGCTGGGCGGATTGCAAACCACGCCCCCGTAAAACTCCCAAAAAGTGTTGCGAAGCCGCCATTTTATTATCCTCGCATTAGCATTATTAGCCTTAACATTAGCCCAGCGCTGAGATGATACAGACTAATTTATGGCAACACAAAAGAAAACATGGGAGTGGTGGAGATGAGGAGGTGTCGGCGTTCTGGCGATTTACTCGGAAGTCCCCAACTCCGGGGACTCCAGGTGGCAGTATACGCCGTGAAGTGGTTTGCGGCCTGCCAGTAAACCCAAAGCAGAAGAAGAAGAAGTGACGTCAGCGACTTCATTTGCCTAATCCTCCCTCAGGGATTTATTGCGGTGTGAACGCGATCTGTACTCATGAGAACTAAAGAGTTCTTAGTACCCCCGGGTACAAAATAAAGGTATGCATAAACAAACAAAGGCGGAACAAATTTATATATGAAAAGTATATATCATTTTGGTGAAGTTCACAATAACAGAAAATAAAGATTTTCAAGTATACAAATAGCCAAAATATAAAAGTAATAGAATATTGAATTTGGCTCTGGTGGGGAGGCAAGGTGGCATGTGTGGGTGAAATGGTGAAGATCGTGTGAGTTTGGAGGTCAACATGCACGCGTGAGTACACCCCTCAACCTCCGAGGGACGTAAGAAAAAAATTCAATACCACCACCTCGGAAAAATTCAGTAAATCAAGATCTTCATATCCAGAGTATGAAAGTACGTTTCAACTGTCAAAGTTCCCATCAATCAACACTTTAATCTCAGTGGGGATGTTGTGGGTTGGAGTAAAAACGATTAACTGCAACATATTATTGTTAAGAGTTAGTTTGTCGGAAGCCGTGGTGTAAAGTACATTTACTCAAGTAGGCTACTGTATAAGTACAATTTGAGGCAGGGGCGGATTGGCCATCTGTAGAATCTGGAAAACCACAGAACGGCCGGTGGACAAGGGCCGTTGACGGCCGGCCCTTTAATTTTTTTTGTTTAACGTCATAATTTAAGTTGCGCTTCCGGCCGACAGAGGGCGACAGCGGCCGCTAATGCAGTTGTGTGTTTCTTATCTGTCAAAACATCACACACGAAGAAGAAAAAAGACCGGCCACACAGACGCCGCGGCAGACAGGGAGAATGACAAAAAATGGATACAAATAAAAGAAAAAGGTGGGGCCGAGAAGGCAAGAGAAAAAAAGGTGAAGTCACTCGCAGCAGGTAATGCTAATAAATGTCGCAAATTGACAGACCTTTTTGGCAGCAGCGCCGCTGCTACAACTACAAGCACTATCATCACCAGCAGCAGCTTAGAACAAGTGCATGATGAAGAGAATGATGAGGGCGCGAGGTCATATATACAGCCAGCCTCCTGCGTTCATGAGGGACAGAGAGTTGAGCTGGTGGAAGAACCAGCTCAACTGGCACATGCAAGTGCAGGGCAAGAGCAAGAGGTGGTAAGTACTATAGAGAAGACAAGTATATTCAACCTAGTGTTTCCAGTTAGTGTGTGGTGTGTTGCTCATGCAAGCAATCAAATAAATACAACTGAGAGTAGGTGTAATAGACTATATTAAAAAAAAGTATAGATTAAACAAAAGTGTATTACTTGTCAACATTTAAGTATTAATTCAAGTAGTAGCCTATAGTATTATAAAAATAATTAACATTATTTTTATCATTAATTTATAATTGTCTATAGGTTGAGGATGGAACAAGGACTGAGGATGACAGCCACTCACACGGCAGCTCAAGCCTGAGGTATTTCCAACGCCCAAATTCCAACAATCACAGTCTCAATAGTTTTTTTTCCTATCACCCTCAGACCAAAACAAAATATTTGACAGTACAAAGACTGTTTAAACGCATGAACGGCACAGATAGAAAATGGCTCACATACTGTGAAGAGAACCACACATTGTATTGTGGAGTATGTTTAGCATTTGCCAAGCCATCTGAAAACAATCCCTTTGTAAGTGGCATGCAGGACTGGAACCATATCAGTCAGAGAGTAGAGGAACACGAAAGGACCATCATGCATAGAATGTGTGCGGAGGCCTACTTTTTGAGGGCATCCAAATCAGACATAGCCAGCCTACTACATGGATCACAAGTAGTGGCCCACAGAGATCAAGTGAGGAAGAAACGGCAGGTGTTGGAACGTGTGGTAGATGTAGTCAAGTGCATAGGAAAGAGGACTTGGCTACAGAGGGAAGGAATATGAGGCAGCATACACTCTAGATGATGACAACATTGACCATGGGAATTTTCTAGAGCTCATCATTCTTCTTGGAAAATATGATGTGTGTCTGAAAGAACATCTCACTGAGTGCACAGAAAAAAGTAAGAAGATGCACCAGTCACACTCACAGGCTAAAGGTCGGGGTTCTGCTGGAACATTCCTATCCAAAACAACTGTAAACAACGTCATTTCCACAGTGCAGAGGCTAATTCAGGAGACCATTGCAAAAGAGGTTGCTGAAAGCGGTATGTTTTCTGTACAAATAGATACAACCCAGGACATTACGTCCCATGAGCAGTGTTCTGTGATTCTGAGATACGTCACAGACACTGTCCAGGAAAGGCTTCTGGCAGAGCTCAAATGTGAAGCATCCACTGGCCAATATTTTGTCCAGATGCTGACAGATGTAATGGATCGTTTTGATTTGGATATCAGCAACTGCATCAGTAATGCTACAGATGGTGCATCCAACATGCAGGGTCAATATCGAGGCTTCTCCGCACTCCTGTCATCGTAAGTCCCAAACCATGTACACGTTTGGTGCTATGCACATGTGCTAAACCTCGTTCTGTCTGATACATCTGAAGGGTCCATAGCTAGTGGGTCCCTTTTCTCCCTCATGAATGACATTGCTGTGTTCATTCGCGAGTCATACAAAAGAATGAATGTGTGGGAGCATAAAAGCCAGGACACTCGACACAGACGCCTCTCCCCAATTGGAGAGACACGGTGGTGGGCTAAAGATGTAGCCTTGAAGAAGATCTTTGGCTCATTTGGAAAGCCAGACCAGTCTCTGTACATTGATGTCTTCATGACACTAAGTGCATTTCAAAGTCAGGCCCATTTGAAAAGTGCAGTGCGTGTCGGAGCAAGAGGATTCCTAGAGGCGCTCCTGAGGTGCGAGACGGTGTTGACTGCCCAGCTTTTCCTTCGGATTTTTGAAGTAACAACACCTCTTTCAAAATACTTGCAGACATGTGGACTAGATATCCTGACTGCCCACAGGATAGTTCAGGACGCTCAACATGCACTGATGAACATGACAAGAGATTTCATGACAGTGAAGACAGCTGCTGATACTTTTGTTGAGTGGGCAAATGCAAAACTGGAGGCAGAAGGGACTGTGAGCTTGAGTTGGAAACAACCCTTCCACTGAAGAGGAACAGGAAAAGGAAGATGATGGCTGGCGAAATGGCAAGTGATGAGAGATTGACAGATGCAAACAGGGCTTATGAAGTAGAGGTCCATAACCAGGTCCTGGATACTGTCACAGACAGTATCAAACGACGCTTTATGACCCACGGCACTCTGTATGCTGACTTGGCTGTCCTTGATCCAAGAAACTTTCCCCAAGTGTGTTCAGTAGAAGCTCTGCCTGACTCTACATTTCAAGATCTAAGCAAATGCTTGCTTAGGTTTGACAGCAGGGCAACTGCTGCAAATTTGCAGTCTGAGTTGAAGTGTCTGGCAGCCCCGTGGCCACGGCTTAAAATGTCTGCACTTGAAGAGTACAGAGTAAGAATCTGGTTGTGAGGAAGAAGAGACAGAGGTTTTAAACAAACAGTGCAACTCTTGTAAAGAATGCTCAATATGTTGCTACCAACTTCTGAAACGCTACAACCTCTTCACAGAAGCCTATCAGCTCCTTGGTTTAGGATACAAGTTTCTTCTCACTCTGCCTGTGACACAGGTAGCTTGTGAGAGAAGTTTCTCTGTACTCAAGCACATCAAAAGCCGAATAAGGAGCACACAGTCACAAGAACACCTGGAAGCATTCATGCTTATGTCAACAGAAAAAGACATCCTCATGTCCCTCGACAATGACTTGGTCGTCGACAGAGTTGCAGAAAAAAGCAACTTACTAAAGAAACTGCTGATTCCCCAACATTAGGTTTACAAACCGCCTCAGACAATCTTGTTTATTTCTTTTAGGTGAGAATTATCCCTTAAACTGCAGCCTAATAAACAGCTGATTTGTGTGTGTGTACTGTTATATGATGTCCCATGTGTTAAGACATCTGAGGAGTGTCCTCCCTATTCTCTTTAGGGGAGAATTATCCGTTGAACCGCATAATAAACAGCTGATTTATAATAACTAATAGTACTGTATTATTTTATCTGATCTCTGATCTCCACCACCACCCTTCTACTTTTACTCAAGTACAAGATCTGAGTACTTTTACTCAAGTACAAGACCAGAGTACTTCTACTTTCACTACAAGTACAATATCTGAGTACTTCTACTTTTACTCAAGTACAAGACATGAGTACTTCTACTTTTACTCAAATACCAGATCTGAATACTTTTACCTCTGCTCATGCGTCATAATTACCCCATTTGTTCGGCGGGAAGTGAACTCCCGCAGCGTGAAACTACATTACCCAGAATGCACTGCGCCGGAAGGGTCCAGTCAGAATCTAAACGGCTAACAGAGCAGCTGAGCTTCAGAAAGTCCCGAAAACGCCTCAAAATACCGGAATAACTCAACTCGGTTTACGTTCCACGGGATTGTAAGATTGTTATGAAGCTACCGGACCGGTGAGGCAGGGTTTTAACCGGAACCTCTCCGTGTGAGCCATGGATTCACCGGCTTGTGTCGGTTAGCGTTAGCATGCTAGGCTAAGCTAACGCGTTGCTAAAGGACTTTCAGACTGTTGTTGTTTCAGAGTCCGGTTTATCTCCAGGTATGTTTACACATCACCGGACTGTTCACTTTTATACACCATCATGTTCATGAAAGTCTAATACATCACATCACACTGTATACAAATGATATGAATCACACACACTTTAGCTTTCCATGACATCTGCTCAGAAAACATGAAATAATGACATTTCTCTTCATTATTCCTCCATAGAGGCTGGTAATCAGACTGTCGTGTGTATCCCGACAGGTCATTATGTTATAGACACATTGAACCTGGGCTGGAGGTACATGTAGTCATTAGCTGTTCAATAAACACAATATCCGGGTCTCTTTCATCTCAAAGTAATAATGAACTCAGGTTAGTTGTTGCAATGTAAAGGTGTGATCACTGCATGAAGGGAACACACCTTACTATGCTTTCTTGTTATTTTCATCAACATGTTAATGTAGTTACAGTACTCAGTCACATTGTGAATACACTTGTACTTATAACAGAGTATTTCTACACTCTGGTACTTCTACTTTTACTTAAATACAAGATCTGAGTACTTCTACTTAAATACAAGACCTGAGTACTTCTACTTAAGTAAAAGTGTAAAGTAACGCGTGTCTAGGAAAAGCGCTATAAAAATGGAATGTATTATTTAGCAAGGCAAGTTTATTTATAGAGCACTTTCCAACATAAGGCCATTGAAAGTGCTTCACAGAGATGAAAGACATTAAGAGCATTAAACACATTAGAACCATTACGAAGCAAAGATAATAAAACATGAATAAAAGTTACAGTGAGATATGAATAGTTTCAAAGAAAGGTCTTCAGTCTGGATTTAAAAGTAGTCTTCGTTGCAGCCAGGGCTCTCCACTAACTTTTTTCCCCATCCTCCCGGAACCGTCCCGAAATACAATCTAAGCCGTCCCGAAATTAATGTGGACCGTCCCGAATTTAAAATGTTAGTTTTTCTACGTTATCATGAGTTAAAATCATTCAAAGTGACCTTTAACATAAAACATCATACAAATCACTAGATGATAATTCATCAACCTTTTTATTTGAGTAAATCATTCAATCACAGAAACAAAGGCCAAATATATTTAAACAAACACACACACGAGAAAGTTACTCTAATATTGAAGCCAATCAAGTCCCATCCAATTAACAACACAATCCAACACTGTGTCCTGAAGACAGAACCCAGAGTAACCACTAACAGTCTGTAACACAGTCAGGAGGCCTTTACAAACGGCCCCCTCGCACACAGACGGGAGAGAGATCTCGTCTGGATTGGAAAGCTCGAAAACACATCATAGACGCATGTTGTAGTCTTATTGCATATTAGAAACGGAGTTGGTGAAACTAAAACTGCGATATAATGTGTATGTAGCAATAATACATATGACATATATTTTTTAAATGTCTCCAGTACCGATAAAAAGTCCGATAACGTTGGAGCTTAACGTTACCACTGTCTTTAATAATTCCGGCCCGTTTAATACCGGGGCTCGGTACCCATCCCTACATGGGGAGAGGCAGCATATTGCTAAGGACTAAATACGATGGAGGGTTCTCATCTCAGCCTTATTACCCATAGGGGATGAAGAGGAGTAAGTGAATAAAGAGGCCGGCGCTCCAGGGTCTGGTTCTGCTGTGCGTTGTTGTGATGTAACGGTAAAACATTTCAGAATTCCTCCACGGGATGCCATTGTACATCACTCAACCCGCGAAATACACACACTCAGTCCATAGCTAGACCCGCAAATTTGCTGGCCAGGAATTTGCGGGCACAGCTGTAGCTACGTGTGTGTGTGTGTGTGTGTGTGTGTATTTTGCGGGTTGCTAAATGTTTTGTGCGTGTGTGTTTATGTTGACAAGGAGGTTTAATAACTGTGTGCTACACAAAATGTGCAGTCGGTTTCATTTTCATCGCCGTTTGTAGTAGAGTTAGCAGGGTATTTTTATTTTAACTCTCGTCCCAAATTCGTCCCAAAATGATTTGTTATCCTCCCTGAGACTATATTTTTCGACGACGGGACGTCCTTAAGCTCGAGCCCTGGTTGCAGCGGACCTGCAGGTTTCTGGGAGTTAGTTCCAGATGTTTGGAGTTTAATAATCAATCAATGTTTATTTATATATACCATATATACCACAAATGTTACATTTGTCTCAGTGGACTTCACAGTTTGTACAGAATATCAGTATGACAATACGACACCCTCTGTCCTTAGACCCTCTGTCCTTAGACCCTCTGTCCTTAGACCCTCACATCGTACAAGGAAAAACTTCCGGAGAAAACCCACAGTTTAAAGGGAACATGGGAGAAACCTCAGGGAGAGCAACAGAGGAGGGATCCCTCTCCCAGGACGGACAGACGTGCAATAGATGCCGTGTGTAAATCCAAAAGATAATACATTTGCAACATAGGTAGTCCAAATGTTTGGAAATGCATGTGTGTATAATAGGAAGATGAATCCACGAGGATGTCAACGATCCTGTGAGAGCCATCAGGGAAGTAGTATGATGAGAGTCAGGCAGGACCGCAGAGACAGGTTCAGCCACGACTCGAAGTCCAGGACTCAGATCCACGACTCAAGATCCAGGGCTCGCGATCCAGGACAGAGGAGCGCAGGATCATCCATGACTCCGGATCCCGGCGTATATAGACACCAAAAAGAAAGACATTTGGGGAAGCTGGGTTAATGGGAACATGAGAGTACACAGGTATAGACAGAGAAGGAAGAAGTAAGATGTCCCCCGACAAACTAAGCCTATATCAGCAAAACTAGGGGCTGGATCTAATCAGCCCTAACTATAAGCTTTATCAAAAAGGAAGGTCTTAAGCGCACTCTTAAAAACGGATAGGGTGTCTGCCGCCCGAACACAAACTGGAATCTGATTCCACAAATGTGGAGCTTGATAAGAAAAGGCTCTGGCTCCCATTGTACTTTTAGAGACTCTAGGAACAACCAACAACCCTGCATTCTTGGAACGCAATGCCCTAGTAGGACAGTAGGGTATAATGAGTTCTTTAAGGTAAGATGGCACCTGCCCATTAAGGGCTTTGTAGGCGAGAAGAAGAATTTTAAATTCTATCCTGTGTTCTATAGGGAGCCAGTGTAAGGCAGCCAGAACAGGTGTAATGTGGTCCCTTTTCCTAACTCTGGTTAGTACACGAGCCGCAGCATTTTGAATCAGCTGAAGCCACTTGACTGACTTCTTGGTACACCCTGATAATAAAGAGTTACAATAATCCAGCCTTGAAGTAACAAATGCATGGACTAGTTTCTCTGCATCGTTTTGAGGCAAGATATGCCTGATCTTTGCAATGTTACGTAGATGGAAGTAGGCGGTCCTTGAAATTGATTTTATGTGGGCGTTAAAGGATAAATCCTGATCAAATATAACACCAAGATTCCTTACAGTCTCACTGGAGGCCAAATTAATGCCATCCATAGTTAGTATATCTTTAGATAATTTGTTTCGTAGATTCTTCGGGCCAAGTACAATAACTTCAGTTTTGGTCGTGTTTAACATCAAAAAGTTTAAGGTCATCCACGTTTTTAAGTCCTTAAGGCAGTCTTGAATTGTATTTAGATGATTAATTTCATCAGGCTTGATTGATAAATATAGTTGAGTATCATCCGCATAACAATGAAAGTTTACAGAATGATTCCTTATAATATTGCCTAACGGAAGCATATATAATGTGAACAGTAGTGCTGTAGCGAAGCGTCGACTTCAAAATATCGTCGACGACATATTTCCGCGTCGACGCGTCGCTACACACACGTGGGTCACCCAAAGCAACAAGCAGTTCGCAATCGCACTTCTAACACAATGGAGACTGAAACGGCTACCACCTCCTCTTCACAGGATTGCGCACGAAGCCCCCAAACGAAAACATCTCGCCCTAGGTCTTCAAAAGCATGGGAATATTTTAAAGTTAGTCCAAAACGCAAAGATATTTATATATGTATATCTCACTGAGACTGCTGCTTAGCCTAGCAGAAGCAGCAGCTAGCTGTGGTGGCTACCATTAGCAGCTAGCATTTGCTCTCCGATTTTTTACATAAAATGGAATTATGGATTATAAATTCAATCTTTTTTATACATAGACGTTAAAAACCTATGGATTAACCGATTCAGCCGCGTTTTTTCTCATTTTATTGCCATTGAACACGTCTTTTGATCAGATTGACAGCTACGGTGGTGAGACGATCTCCCTAGAAGCTCTGTGAAGGTACGTGTTGTGATGACTGTATTTGCTTCCCCTGTCGCGAGTCCGGATCACTCAGTGATGATACTATATACCTACATAATCTATGGAGTCTCAGCTTTAATCGGATATATTGTATGTGCAGCTACGATAAGTAATAAGGGTACTTTTATCTTGAGTTCTGTGCCAATGTCCGTTAGCATTTTTCGCTCAGGGGTCATTTAGATGCTTCTTATGAGACTTGTGTTTTGTTTTGGTAAACATGGTTTGTATCGGCAGTTAGCTGAGATTATTTCCGTTAATCTGGTATAACACATTAATAGGTTCTTAAATATTAAGATCCCCTGAGACACAGTATCGTGAAAAAAAAATTGTTTACATTACGTTTTTTATGAATTGAACAACAGAAAAATAATCGTTAGATTAGTCGACTAATCGATCAAATAATCGCCCGATTAATCGGTTTTCAAAATAATCGTTTCCCCCCAGCACTAGTGAACAGAATGGGTCCGAGCACTGAGCCCTGTGGCACTCCATGGATAACTTTGGTTTGCGTGGAAGATTCATCATTGATACGTACAAAGTGACAGCGTTCAGATAGATAGGACCTAAAGCAGTTCCCTTTATGCCAAATAATGGCGCATTCCCACTACAGCGCGGTTTAAGCGTGCCGTGCACGGCCCGTTTTTGGTTGCGTTTCCACTTGGCATAGTACCGGCTAGCGGGTACTATTTGGTGAGACCTGTAAAGACACCATTACAGTAGTCCAGTCTACTGAAGATAAAAGCATGGACAGGTTTCTCCATTAAGTTTACTAAGTACCAGATCTCCTCCTCCTCCTCCTCCAGATCAGGATGACCCTCGCCCCGAAGGAGCTGTCCAACCTGCTGAGCATCATCTCTGAGGAGGCGTGCACCAACACCTTTGAGAGTCTCTCCACGCACTTCCACCACTACTTTGGGAAGGCGGAGCACTTCAGGGTGGGCTCGGTGCTGGTGATGCTCCTGCAGCAGCCCGACCTGCTGCCCTCCTCCCCCCAGAGGCTCACTGCGCTCTACCTGCTGTGGGAGATGTACCGCACCGAGCCGCTGGCCGCCAACCCCTTCGCTGCCGTGTTCGCTCACCTGCTGAACCCCTCGCCTGCAGCGGGGGAGGAGCCCGAGAAGCTGCTCTCAGGTGGGTCGATCATACTGCGGGGTAAAACAGATCTGTTATCACTGTCTTGATTTAAGTCCAATTTCTAGCTTTAAGTCCACTTCGTGTGTGTTGGAGGAGGCGCTCTGTGAGGAAGTCTGAAGGAAGGGGCCGATTTCTTTCGGTTGTGTACTTTCAAATTCTAGCGCTCTCGAGCTGCTTTCTCCAAAATTACCTACCCCACCTTTAACATTGGTGTAATTGGTGTAAAATCAATATCTTAATTTAAGTCCAACTTCTAGATTTTCTAAAACCACTTCAATAATAATAATAATACGTGTTATATATATATATATATATATATATATTCTCAAAGCATTTATTGCTAAGAAGGTTTACAAATATGAGGAATTTACCTTTGTGTATTTGGTGCATACATAAACACAGTTAAAGATCAATTGTAAGATAAATGACCCAGAAATAAAGCTATTTATATAATCTATTATAACATTCAGTAAAATATGACAAATATTCGGTCAAATTAAATATGTGCAGTATTGGTATGAAAGGTGGAAATCAGTGCAGACAATTAAAAGATGTAGCTTTGTGTACTCGAGTACAAGTACCTCAAAATGATACTGCAGTGCATGGTTGCATAGTGGAGGCTGTGTTATACGATGTGAGGAGGCTGTGGCTCAGTGGGAGTGTGTGTTTATCTTCAGATCAGGAGATACCTGGTTCAATCCCACTGCAGTCAGCATGTCGTTGTGTCCCTGGGTGAAACCCATCGCTCCTGCGGGGATTGTCTAAAGTACTGAATTGTACAAGAGACATGTGACACAGTTTATTCTTCTGTTCCACTAACCCTCAGAGGTACATTTCGTACTTAAAGTAAAGGAGGGCTTAGCGAAACATGAGAAATGTTATCCTTCTTCAGATGAGATGGAGCTTTATTAATCCCATGGGGAGATTCAGGAGTTTAAACGGCAACAGGGTGAGAGTGAAGAAACGCACAGATTAGAGATTAATATAATTTAAGGCGAGACACGGCAGGCAAAAACATCGTTTTTCAAGTACTGGTCAATTTTGAGATTTTGTGCTATTTTGATTCCATAACATGTTTTCTTTCAGGCTTTTGGAAGGAAAACGTACAAAATACACATTTAAGTGTTTATTTGACTATAGTTTGTCTATTTGCGTCTGTAGATTTCTCCTAAATTCACCAAAAGTTAGCATTCTAACGTAACATAAAGTACCGCGACCGCTGTGTGCACCATGTCAACAGAGGTATCGCTGGAAAGCTCCGTCTCTCCTGCACAATCTCATCGGATCCAAATATGGTCATTTCCTTTGTATCAGCAACCAATCGTGAAAGCACAAAGGGGTCTTAAACCAAGAAACGAAATCTCATTGGCTGGTGTCAATTTCTGACGACGTGATTCGTTCAGATGCGTCACGTGGTGTGCTAAAACACTTCCTGGTTAGCTTTCCGCTAGAAATTGAAATCTCAAAATGCCAAAAGAACGGCGAAAAAAAACGTTCAGAGAAGACGACAACAATTGTCACTTGCACGAAGCAAGGTTATACAAAAAAACACAAATGACCCTGACCATGAAATACCTTCACGGAGTGCGTCGATGCGCAAGCTGTCATCCAAAGAACAGGAGGGTTTAGCTAGCGCCTCACTGCAATCTTTAAAGGTCCTTTTCTCAAAATGAGTTTTTTCTCCTACTCTAAGTTCGACATTTCAACTTCAGTAGCACGTAAATTCACCAAACCTTCCAGTTATATTCCTATCAATATTATGAAGGCTTTTACAGAAGGGTTTGTTCATATATCATTCATAGCCTGAATTATACAACATTGTATACCTAAAAACATGGAGAAAATTGATATTTTAGGGCTGTTGACAGTATTTTCTGATTTATGGAGTGATAAAAAGAGATATCCAATATCCCTTCTGTAAAAGCCTTAGATACTAATATGACTACAAAATGAAACAAGAATTTTGAATCTGGCTATATCCAAAATTCAGATTTCGATTCCTGAAATGTGTTAAAATATGTGCATATTTAATGAGATAATGGGTAATTTGCATATTTAAACATGCTATTTCAGAAACTTGTAATACAAAAAACAATTGCCTTATTGTAAGTAATTAACTGGAGACATTTCTAGCTGATAAGTTAAAAAAATTACCCTATTCACCTGGGGTGTCTCGCCTTAAGATAACATTCTAATGATAAACAGTAACTTCAAAATAGGAAATGAATTAAATGAACATATATTCATATTTGGGTCATGTATACACATTGGAATATTATCATATTATCCACCGATAAATAACGAGGATGGGTTCAAAGGTGTGTGTCCGTCCATTTAAGGAGGGTCTCACTGGTCTCAGGGGGTTTCTGTCTTATCATAATGGTTTATTACTGTAATGGTCTTTATATTATTATTGTTTTGTCATCTTGTTTTTGTATATAGCACCTGCGTCTGTACTCTGTATTTTCTCCTGTTATGTGTTATTGTGTGGGAAAAACCAATACATGAAGAGGGTTTGATCCTCCAGTTCTCTAACTGTCTCATATCTCTGATGCCCCCCCCCCAGGCTTCCTGCCTCCCATCACTCAGCCGGAGAAGTTCTTCCTGTCTCAGCTGATGCTCGCCCCCCCCAGGGATCTGTTCAAGAAGACCCCCCGCCAGGTGTCCTGCATGGACGTGGGCAACATGCCGCAGGCCATCGACATCAGCGGCCTGCAGCTGGCTCTAGCAGGTGTGTGTGTGTTAGGGCTGCACGGTATTGAAAAAAACTGACATCGCGATTTTTTTTCTTTCCCCTGCGTTTTTTTTAACCTGTTAAGCTCCAAAGTCCCGGCGGGTACTTTACTTTTTTTTTTCACGACACTGTATCTCAGGGGATCTTAATATTTAAGAACCTATTAATGTGTTATACCAGATTAACGGAAATAATCTCAGCTAACCGACGATACAAACCATTTTTACCAAAACAAAACACACGTCTAAATGACCCCTGAGCGAAAAATGCTAACGCACTTTGGCACAGAACTCAAGATAAAAGTACCCTTATTACTTATCGTAGCTGCACTTACAAGATATCCGATTAAAGCTGAGGTTCCACAGATTATTTAGGTATATAGTATCATCACTGAGTGATCTGAACTCAGACAGGGGAAGCAAACACAGACATCACAACACGTACCTTTACGGAGCTTCTAGGGGAGATGTCTCACCGTAGCTGTCAATCTGATCAAAAGCTGAATCGGTTAATCCATAGGTTTTTAACGTCTCTGTATAAAAAAAAACGATTTAATTTATAATCCATAATTCCATTTTTATGTTAAAATCGCAGAGCAAAAGTTAGCTGCTAATGGTAGCCACTAATTCTGTCCCGAATACCATTTTTCGGGCTCCGGATATTCGGTAGTAATCAGCAGCGAATATTCGGTGCGGAGAGATTTTTGTTTTTTCAGCGCCCGGGGACCAAATCCGGTTCCAAATTCCGTCTATAACGTTTTACAACCTGAAGATACAAAACACATATTTCTGTTATAACAATAATACTTTTAATAACATAGCCGTAACAGTCGGCCTAACAGTGTAACACTGGTTACCGATACAGTAAACAGTATTTAAATAAATGAAGAACGAAAAATAAATGAACGAACTGTATGCCAATAATTGCCTTAGCCCCAGATGTTCCACATTGCTCCTATTATTTTCACTATTCGGATAAAATTGAAAAACTAATATAAAAAAACAATTTGCTTGCTTGCAACTATTTTCCAAGCAAAGTAAGTGCAGGTTTTTATCATGTGTAACGTTACTGTTTAAACGGCGGAGGAACCAGCACCTTACCGTGGTAGAGAGGTTTGTTTACTCACAAGTCCCCGGTTAGGTGCTTCGTTGTTGGAGTTTACCCCAGTGGACGAGAGGGTCGCCTCCCTACGCCTGCGGGTTATGGGGGGGAAAACTCTGACTGTTGTGTGTGCTTATGCACCCAACAGCAGTTCAGAGTATACGGCCTTCTTGGAGACCCTGGAAAGAGTCCTGTATGGGGCTCCTGAAGGGGACTCTTTAATCTTGCTGGGAGACTTAAACGCACATGTGGGCAATGATGGAGACACTTGGAGGGGCGTGATTGGGAGGAACGGCCCCCCCTGATCTGAACCGGAGTGGTGCTTTGTTACTGGACTTCTGTGCTAGTCATGGATTGGCCATAACAAACACCATGTTCGAACATAAGGATGCTCATAAGTGTACGTGGTACCAGAGCACCCTAGGCAGAAGGTCCATGATCGATTTCGTTATCGTATCATCGGACCTGAGGCCGTATGTTTTGGACACTCGGGTAAAGAGAGGGGCGGAGTTGTCAACTGATCACCATCTGGTGGTGAGTTGGGTCGAGTGGCGGGGGAAGCCTCTGGATAGACCTGGTAAGCCCAAACGTGTAGTTCGGGTGAACTGGGAACGTCTGGAGGAGGCCCAAGTTCAGGAGGCCTTCAACTCACACCTCCGGCGGAGCTTTTCGGGCATTCCTGTGGAGGTTGGGGGACATTGAACCAGAGTGGTCGGTGTTCAAAGCCTCTATTGCCGAAGCCGCGGCGGGGAGCTGTGGTCTCAGGTCCTAGGTGCCTCAAGGGGCGGTAACCCTCGAACCTCCTGGTGGACACCGGTGGTCAGGGAAGCCGTCCGACTGAAGAAGGAGGCCTTCAGGGATTTGTTATCCCGGGGGACTCCCGAGGCAGTTGCAAGGTACCGACAGGCCCGAAGGGCAGCAGCCTCATCCGTGGCCGAGGCAAAGCAGCGGGTGTGGGAGAAGTTCGGAGAAGACATGGAGAAGGACTTTCGGGCGGCACCAAAGTTGTTCTGGAAAACTGTCCGACACCTCAGGAGGGGGAAGCAGGGAACCATCCAAGCTGTGTACAGTAAGGATGGGACGTTGTTGACCTCAACTGATGGAGTGTTAGGGCGTTGGAAGGAACACTTTGAGGAACTCCTGAACCCGACAACTCCGCCCTCTATGTTAGAGGCAGAGCTGGAGTATGACGGGGGATCAACACCAATCTCCCGGGGGGAGGTCACTGAGGGTCGTCAAACAACTCCACAGTGGCAAAGCCCCGGGGGTGGATGAGATCCGCCCGGAAATGCTGAAGGCTCTGGGTGTTGAGGGACTGTCATGGTTGACACGTCTCATCAACGTTGCGTGGAAGTCGGAAACAGTACCGAAGGAGTGGCAGACCGGGGTGGTGGTTCCCCTTTTTAAAAAGGGGGATCAGAGGGTGTGTGCCAATTACAGAGGCATCACACTACTCAGCCTCCCCGGGAAAGTTTACTCTAAGGTACTCGAAAGGAGGGTCAGGCCGATTGTCGAACCTCAGATTGAGGAGGAACAATGCGGATTCCGTCCTGGTCGTGGAACGACGGATCAGCTTTTTACTCTCGCAAGGATCCTGGAGGGGGCCTGGGAGTACGCTTATCCGGTCTACATGTGTTTTGTAGACTTGGAGAAGGCGTATGACCGAGTTCCCAGGGAGTTACTGTGGGAGGTGCTGCGGGAGTATGGGATGAGGGGGTCTCTACTCAGGGCCATCCAATCTCTGTACTCCCAAAGCGAGAGCTGTGTCCGGGTCCTCGGCAGTAAGTCGGACACATTTCCGGTGAGGGTTGGCCTCCGCCAGGGCTGCGCTTTGTCACCAATCCTGTTTGTAATATACATGGATCGGATTTCGAGGCGTAGTCGTGGGGGAGGGGGTCTGCAGTTCGGTGGACTAAGGATTGCACCACTGCTTTTTGCAGATGATGTGGTTCTAATGGCTTCATCGGTCTGCGACCTTCAGCACTCACTGGATCGGTTCGCAACCGAGTGTGAAGCGGCTGGGATGAGGATCAGCACCTCCAAATCTGAGGCCATGGTTCTCAGCAGGAAACCGATGGACTGTCCACTTCAAGTAGGGAATGAGTCCTTACCCCAAGTGAAGGAGTTCAAGTATCTCGGGGTCTTGTTCTCGAGTGAGGGAACAATGGAGCGTGAGATGGGCCGGAGAATCGGAGCAGCGGGAGCGGTACTGCAGTCGCTTTACCGCACCGTTGTGACGAAAAGGGAGCTGAGCCAGAAGGCAAAGCTCTCTGTCTACCGGGCCATTTTCGTTCCTACCCTCACCTATGGTCATGAAGGATGGGTCATGACCGAAAGAACGAGATCGCGGATACAAGCGGCCGAGATGGGTTTTCTCCGCAGGGTGGCTGGTGTCTCCCTTAGGGATAAGGTGAGAAGTTCGGTCATCAGGGAGGGACTCGGAGTTGAGCCGCTCCTCCTTCGCGTCGAAAAGGAGCCAGTTGAGGTGGTTCGGGCACCTAGTTAGGATGCCACCTGGGCGCCCTCCCTAGGGAGGTGTTCCAGGCACGTCCAGCTGGGAAGAGACCAAGGGGTAGACCTAGGACCAGGTGGAGGGATTATATCTCTTCGCTGGCCTGGGAGCGCCTTGGGATCCCCCAGTCAGAGCTGGTTGATGTCGCCAGGGAAAAGAAAGTTTGGGGCTCTCTGCTGGAACTGCTACCCCCGCGACCCGACCACGGATAAGCGGGAGAGGATGGATGGATGGATAAAGCAGCTTCATCAGGACAACTTGACAACAGCTAAGCTAAGCTAGGCTAGTACTTACAGCATCCGGTGACTTTTCAGAGTTGTTGTGCCACCGGCCAGTTTCACGTCGCATATTTGGCACACTGCCTTCTTCTTACCGTCATCCAATTTAAAATGGTCCCACACAGCTGAAGTCTTCGGCATTTTGTGTTCAGGTGTGTGAAACGAGGTGAAGCGAGGTGAAGCGTGCCGTTTGCGTTTGTGACTGAGTGAACGCGATGGAGCACAGGCTGAGATTGTATAGATTTCCGCATTTTAACAGTGCAATTCAAAAGTATAAATATAGTATAAGAATATGGCAATTCGCCTTTATTGATAGCATACATTTAGGGGGAAAAAAATATTTTTTGGAAAAAAAACGAATATCCGAATAATGAAATTTAAAACCCGAATAGTTGGCCAACGAACGAATAGTCGAATATTCGGGAACAGCCCTAGTAGACACCAGAGTGGCTGCTGCTTCCGGTCTTGGCTATGCGGCAGTCTAACACACACACATTACCAAATAAGGAGTGAGAGTGACGCGTAGCCAAAACCGGAAGCTGCATACACTCTGGTGGCTACCATTAGCAGCTAACTTTTGTGCTCCGATTTTTACATAACAATGGAATTATGGATTATAAACAATTGCTTCAAAGCCACAGATACATTATCAACCTATGGATCAACCGATTCAGCCGCGTTTTTTCTCGTTTTAATGCCATTGAACACGTCTTTTGATCAGATTGACAGCTACGGTGAGACGATCTCCCGTAAAAGCTCCGTAAAGGTACGTGTTGTGATGTCTGTGTTTGCTTCCCCTGTTGCGAGATCGGATCGCTTAGATACTATACTTAAATAATCTGTGGAGTCTCAGTTTTAATCGGATATATTGTATGTATTTTCGGGACCCCCTTGAAAACGAGATGGTGCATCTCAAGGGGTTTATCCCAATCAATAACAATTTCTATATGTGCAGTTTAGATAAGTAATAAGGGTATCTTTATTTTGAATTCTGTGCTAAAGTGCGTTAGCATTTTTTTTTTTTTAAATGAATAAAACCGCACGTCCCTGCGGTGTGAATACCGCGCATGCGCATATCACGGTTATCACCATGACACGGTATATCGTTCAGCCCTAGTGTGTGTGCGCAGGTCAGAAACTGTGTGTGCAGGTCAGAAACTCTGTGTGTGCAGGTCAGAAACTGTGTGCGCAGGTCAGAAACTGTGTGCGCAGGTCAGAAACTGTGTGCGCAGGTCAGAAACTGTGCGCAGGTCAGAAACTGTGTGTGCAGGTCAGAAACTCTGTGCGCAGGTCAGAAACTGTGTGCGCAGGTCAGAAACTGTGTGCGCAGGTCAGAAACTGTGTGCGCAGGTCAGAAACTGTGTGCGCAGGTCAGAAACTGTGTGCGCAGGTCAGAAACTGTGTGCGCAGGTCAGAAACTGTGTGCGCAGCTCAGAAACTGTGTGCGCAGCTCAGAAACTGTGTGCGCAGGTCAGAAACTGTGTGTGCAGGTCAGAAACTGTGTGTGCAGGTCAGAAACTGTGTGCGCAGGTCAGAAACTGCGTGCGCAGGTCAGAAACTGCGTGCGCAGGTCAGAAACTGCGTGCGCAGGTCAGAAACTGCGTGCGCAGGTCAGAAACTGCGTGCGCAGGTCAGAAACTGCGTGCGCAGGTCAGAAACTGCGTGCGCAGGTCAGAAACTGTGTGCGCAGGTCAGAAACTGTGTTTTATTTACTTGTTTAAAAATAAATGTGTCTTTAGGGTGACTTACACAATCTGTCCAGGGACTCCAGAGATGTTGATGAATGTCCCTGTTGAAGTGAATGAATAAATAGAATGTGCTGTTTCCCTTCAGTTTGGGGAGCCAGAATGTGTGGTGATAACCCTGACCCGTCCTCCGTGTTCCTCAGAGCGTCAGTCGGAGCTTCCCACTCAGAGTAAAGCCAGCTTCCCGAGCCTCCTGAACGACCCCGACCCCGACTCCTCCAACTCGGGCTTCGACAGCTCCGTGGCCAATCAGATCATCGAGTCTCTGGTGACCGGGCCCCGCCCCCCCCTGGAGAGTGAGTGATTCAAGTCTTTGTCATCATATGCTCATTAGCTACAGTGTAGTTATGGCAATGAAAAACTGAAGTAACAGCTGAGAGAGAGGGATATGAGGCTAGAATGATCTGTTTGGTATTTTGAGCAAAACACTTCAGAGACATGTTTTTTATTTATCTGTATATATCTGAGAGCTATAATATATGTCAAAAAATAGCATGATAGGAGACCTTTAAAATCTCCATAGACGTACACATTTCCTCTGTTGCTGCTTCATCATATTCTCTCTCTTCCTCTTCCTCCTCAGGTCACTAACAAAGCTTTAATGCCATTAAAAAAAAATAGCAGTATTCACCTTGAAATAAATTGGAAAAAAATATATAAAAAGCAGTCCAGTACCTCATCATATTCTCTCTCTCCCCCCCCCTCACACAGTCAGCTCTTTAGTAACAGGGCTGAAATAGAGGGGGGTCAGGCTTAGGAGCCCTTTAAAATCTCCTTATTCTCTCTCTTCTCCTCAGGTCACTTCCGGCCAGAGTTCATCCGGCCGCCCCCCCCTCTGCACGTGTGCGAGGACGAGCTGGCCTGGCTGAACCCCACGGAGCCAGACCACAGCGTCCAATGGGATCGCTCCATGTGTGTGAAGAACAGCACCGGGCTGGAGATCAAACGCATCATGGCCAAAGCCTTCAAGAGCCCGCTGTCCGCCCAGCAACAGGCCCAGGTACTAACACTCATATAATCTATAGGGGTCCCAAACACTCGCATATCATCTATAGGGGTCCCAAACACTCATATCATCTATAGGGGTCCCAAACACTCATATCATCTATAGGGGTCCCAAACACTCAGATATCATCTATAGGGGTCCCAAACACTCAGATATCATCTATAGGGGTCCCAAACACTCAGACATCATCTATAGGGGTCGCAAACACTCACATATCATCTATAGGGGTCCCAAACACTCACATATCATCTATAGGGGTCCCAAACACTCACATATCATCTATAGGGGTCGCAAACACTCACATATCATCTATAGGGGTCCCAAACATTCACATATCATCTATAGGGGTCCCAAACACTCACATATCATCTATAGGGGTCCCAAACACTCACATCATCTATAGGGGTCCCAAACACTCAGATATCATCTATAGGGGTCCCAAACACTCAGATATCATCTATAGGGGTCCCAAACACTCACATATCATCTTTAGGGGTCCCAAACACTCACATGTCATCTATAGGGGTCCCAAACACTCACATATCATCTATAGGGGTCCCAAACACTCACATCATCTATAGGGGTCCCAAACACTCAGATATCATCTATAGGGGTCCCAAACACTCACATCATCTATAGGGGTCCCAAACACTCAGATATCATCTATAGGGGTCGCAAACACTCAGATATCATCTATAGGGGTCCCAAACATTCACATATCATCTATAGGGGTCCCAAACACTCACATATCATCTATAGGGGTCCCAAACACTCACATCATCTATAGGGGTCCCAAACACTCAGATATCATCTATAGGGGTCCCAAACACTCAGATATCATCTATAGGGGTCCCAAACACTCACATGTCATCTATAGGGGTCCCAAACACTCACATATCATCTATAGGGGTCCCAAACACTCACATCATCTATAGGGGTCCCAAACACTCAGATATCATCTATAGGGGTCCCAAACACTCACATCATCTATAGGGGTCCCAAACACTCAGATATCATCTATAGGGGTCCCAACCACTCACATATCATCTATAGGGGTCCCAAACATTCACATATCATCTATAGGGGTCCCAAACACTCACATATCATCTATAGGGGTCCCAACCACTCACATATCATCTATAGGGGTCCCAAACACTCACATATCATCTATAGGGGTCCCAAACACTCACATATCATCTATAGGGGTCGCAAACACTCACATATCATCTATAGGGGTCGCAAACACTCACATATCATCTATAGGGGTCCCAAACACTCACATATGATCTATAGGGGTCCCAAACACTCACATATCATCTATAGGGGTCCCAAACACTCACATATCATCTATAGGGGTCCCAAACATTCACATATCATCTATAGGGGTCCCAAACACTCACATATCATCTATAGGGGTCCCAAACACTCACATCATCTATAGGGGTCCCAAACACTCAGATATCATCTATAGGGGTCCCAAACACTCAGATATCATCTATAGGGGTCCCAAACACTCACATATCATCTATAGGGGTCCCAAACACTCACATATCATCTATAGGGGTCCCAAACACTCAGATATCATCTATAGGGGTCCCAAACACTCACATATCATCTATAGGGGTCCCAAACATTCACATATCATCTATAGGGGTCCCAAACACTCACATATCATCTATAGGGGTCCCAAACACTCACATCATCTATAGGGGTCCCAAACATTCACATATCATCTATAGGGGTCCCAAACACTCACATATCATCTATAGGGTCCCAAACACTCACATCATCTATAGGGGTCCCAAACACTCAGATATCATCTATAGGGGTCTCAACACTCACATATCATCTATAGGGGTCCCAAACATTCACATATCATCTATAGGGGTCCCAAACATTCACATATCATCTATAGGGGTCCCAAACACTCAGATATCATCTATAGGGATCCCAAACACTCAGATATCATCTATAGGGGTCCCAAACATTCACATATCATCTATAGGGGTCCCAAACACTCACATATCATCTATAGGGGTCGCAAACACTCACATATCATCTATAGGGGTCCCAAACACTCACATATCATCTATAGGGGTCGCAAACACTCACATATCATCTATAGGGGTCCCAAACACTCACATATCATCTATAGGGGTCCCAAACACTCACATATCATCTATAGGGGTCCCAACCACTCGCATATCATCTATAGGGGTCCCAAACACTCGCATATCATCTATAGGGGTCCCAACCACTCGCATATCATCTATAGGTGTCCCAACCACTCACATATCATCTATAGGGGTCCCAAACACTCACATATCATCTATAGGGGTCCCAAACACTCACATATCATCTATAGGGGTCCCAACCACTCACATATCATCTATAGGGGTCCCAAACACTCACATATCATCTATAGGTGTCCCAACCACTCACATATCATCTATAGGGGTCCCAAACACTCACATATCATCTATAGGGGTCCCAAACACTCACATATCATCTATAGGGGTCCCAACCACTCACATATCATCTATAGGGGTCCCAAACACTCAAATCATCTATTGGGGTCCCAAACACTGTGATGTTCCATGTTGTTGTTTGTTTCTCTTGTGTTGTTGTTTGTCTGTTGACGTTACACATGGAGCTGCTGTGATGTTCCATGTTGTTGTTTGTTTCTCATGTGTGTTGATGTTTATCTGTTGATGTTCTACATGGAGCTGCTGGGATGTTCCATGTTGTTGTTTGTTTCTCATGTGTTGATGTTTGTCTGTTGTTGTTCCACATGGAGCTGCTGTGATGTTCCATGTTGTTGTTTGTTTCTCATGTGTTGTTGTTTATCTGTTGATGTTCCACATGGAGCTGCTGGGATGTTCCATGTTGTTGTTTGTTTCTCATGTGTTGTTGTTTGTCTGTTGATGTTCCACATGGAGCTGCTGGGATGCAAGGAGCATTTGTAATCTGTAGTCGCCGCATTAAACCACTTGGAAGCTGAGGAAACCCCAGTTTCAGAGGCTCCTTGCAGATCATAACATGCACTGATTCTTAATGTTTGATGTGATTGGTGAAAACCCCAGAATCTGTGTTTACCTCCAGTCACATGACAGCGAGTGTTTGCACCAGATGTGTTTCTCATCTATACATCCTGTGTGTGTGTGTGTGTGTGTAGCTGCTGGCGGAGCTGGAGAAGGACCTGAAGCTGGTGTACCACATTGGTCTGTCCCCCTCCAAGCTGCCGGACCTGGTGGAGAACAACCCTCTGGTGGCCATCGAGATGCTGCTGAAGCTCATGCAGAGCTCTCAGATCACTGAGTACTTCTCTGTGCTCGTCAACATGGACATGTCCCTGCACAGCATGGAGGTCGTCAACAGGTACTAATACACACATATATTGAGGTACATGGACATGTCCCTGCACAGCATGGAGGTCGTCAACAGGTACTAATACACACATATATTGAGGTACATGGACATGTCCCTGCACAGCATGGAGGTCGTCAACAGGTACTAATACACACATATATTGAGGTACATGGACATGTCCCTGCACAGCATGGAGGTTGTCAACAGGTACTAATACACACATATATTGAGGTACATGGACATGTCCCTGCACAGCATGGAGGTCGTCAACAGGTACTAATACACACATATATTGAGGTACATGGACATGTCCCTGCACAGCATGGAGGTCGTTAACAGGTACTAATACACACATATATTGAGGTACATGGACATGTCCCTGCACAGCATGGAGGTCGTCAACAGGTACTAATACACACATATATTGAGGTACATGGACATGTCCCTGCACAGCATGGAGGTCGTCAACAGGTACTAATACACACCTATATTGAGGTACATGGACATGTCCCTGCACAGCATGGAGGTCGTCAACAGGTACTAATACACACATATATTGAGGTACATGGACATGTCCCTGCACAGCATGGAGGTTGTCAACAGGTACTAATACACACATATATTGAGGTACATGGACATGTTCCTGCACAGCATGGAGGTCGTCAACAGGTACTAATACACACATATATTGAGGTACATGGACATGTTCCTGCACAGCATGGAGGTCGTCAACAGGTACTAATACACACATATATTGAGGCACATGGACATGTCCCTGCCACAGGCATGGAGGTTGTCAACAGGTACTAATACACACATATATTGAGGTACATGGACCATGTCCCTGCACAGCATGGAGGTTGTCAACAGGTACTAATACACACATATATTGAGGTACATGGACATGTCCCTGCACAGCATGGAGGTCGTCAACAGGTACTAATACACACATATATTGAGGCACATGGACATGTCCCTGCACAGCATGGAGGTTGTCAACAGGTACTAATACACACATATATTGAGGTACATGGACATGTCCCTGCACAGCATGGAGGTCGTCAACAGGTACTAATACACACATATATTGAGGTACATGGACATGTCCCTGCACAGCATGGAGGTCGTCAACAGGTACTAATACACACATATATTGAGGTACATGGACATGTCCCTGCGCAGCATGGAGGTCGTCAACAGGTACTAATACACACATATATTGAGGTACATGGACATGTCCCTGCACAGCATGGAGGTCGTCAACAGGTACTAATACACACATATATTGAGGCACATGGACATGTCCCTGCACAGCATGGAGGTCGTCAACAGGTACTAAGACACACATATACTGAGGTACATGGACATGTCCCTGCACAGCATGGAGGTTGTCAACAGGTACTAATACACACATATACTGAGGTACATGGACATGTCCCTGCACAGCATGGAGGTTGTCAACAGGTACTAATACACACATATATTGAGGTACATGGACATGTCCTTGCACAGCATGGAGGTCGTTAACAGGTACTAATACACACATATATTGAGGTACATGGACATGTCCCCTGCACAGCATGGAGGTCGTTAACAGGTACTAATACACACATATATTGAGGTACATGGACATGTCCCTGCACAGCATGGAGGTCGTCAACAGGTACTAATACACACATATATTGAGGTACATGGACATGTCCCTGCACAGCATGGAGGTCGTCAACAGGTACTAATACACACATATATTGAGGTACATGGACATGTCCTGCACAGCATGGAGGTCGTCAACAGGTACTACTCACACATATATTGAGGTAAATGGACATGTCCCCTGCACAGCATGGAGGTCGTCAAAGGTACTAATTACCACACATATATTGAGGTACCATGGACATGTCCCTGCACAGCATGGAGGTCGTCAACAGGTACTAATACACACATATATTGAGGTACATGGACATGTCCCTGCACAGCATGGAGGTCGTCAACAGGTACTAATATACACACATACTGCTGTACATGTACTAAAACATACTGCAGTACATGTACTAACACATACTGCAGTACAATTACTAAGACATACTGCAGTACAAGTACATGCACCAACACATACTGCAGTATAGGCGTGTGGTGCAGTGGGTTGTGAGTTGGTATTCGGATCAGGAGGTCACAGGTTCAAACCCCACTGCAGTCAGCATGTCGTTGTGTCCCTGAGACCCTTCACCCCAAATTGCTCCTGTGGGGATTGCCCTCAGTATTGAGTATGTAAGTCGCTTTGGATAAAGCGTCTAACAAGTGACATGTAATGTAATGTATAGGGGTGCATACCGGTTCCCGGTATTACGGAAATACCGGTTACTGGCGGCTACGGTATACCATACCAAAATCAGATCCGGTTTTCGATACTTTAAAACATTTTTTTTATAAAAGTGAGGCGTAATTAAACTCGCGCCCAAACCGTCGGAATTACGATATCAATTTCGCCGTGAAACTCCGCAAACGAGTCACTTTAGATTTGCATATGACTGCCAGTCTGAATGGTAGGGTCTGTAGCCACTGCAAGAAGTTTATTTCTGGGAAAGGAGGCAACACCTCCAACCACTGCTGTCTCCTATGGCAACCAAGTACCTTTGTGTTCAGTTCAGCAGGTGATGTCCTACGCCAGGGGTATTCAACTCAAACTCAATGAGGTCCAGTTAGAGAGAATCTCCCCATGCAAAGGTCCGGAACATCAACATGTCTAACTTGCTTTATGAATTAGTGTGATATATATTGAAGTAGATGTAGCTGTATCAACATCTGCATGTAATCAACAACTGACTCCCAATCAAATAAAGAAAGTACAATTCAAAAACAACAATATTTATAGTCAATGAACATTGAACTAAACAGATATACAGTAAATACTGTGGATATGTGTAATGTTCCTCTCGGGCTGCATTTACAAATAAAATAAATAAAATAGCTTTTGAAAATGTGTGCATCTTAAAGTGCTTAATTTTAAATAAATAAAGTGTAGCTTGAGTTTCCCTTTTTCTTTGTTAACCGTTTCACATCATGACTTAACAGTTTCAGACGATAATAGAACATATCAGTCTTTACATCATAACCATTGAACCGTTTAAAAGTGTCTCTTTCCCTCTTGATATTCTGAACAATCTGTGCTGTTGTATTTGCTGTAAAGTGTCTCTACTGTAGGCTATTTTTATTATATGTACAGCACTTTGGCTCGACCAAAAATCGTTTATAAATGTGCTTTATAAATAAAACTTGATTTGATTTATATTGCAGTCCGTCACTCACTTTGTTCTGTTCAGTGCGAGAGCTCGAGCTTGTCCTGCCAGGAGTTTAGATCTGGGCTGAAATGGTGTCAGGGCCATTCTCACACACATGCAGGTGCTCATTGGTTAGCCTCGGTTAGCTCATTGGTTAGCCTCGGTTAGCTCATTGGTTAGCCTCGGTTAGCTCATTGGTTAGCCTCGATTAGCTCATTTGTTAGCCTCGGTTAGCTCATTGGTTAGCCTCGGTTAGCTCATTGGTTAGCCTCGGTTAGCTCATTGGTTAGCCTCGGTTAGCTCATTGGTTAGCCTCGGTTAGCTCATTGGTTAGCCTCGGTTAGCTCATTGGTTAGCCTCGGTTAGCTCATTGGTTAGCCTCGGTTAGCTCATTGGTTAGCCTCGGTTAGCTCATTTGTTAGCCTCGGTTAGCTCATTTGTTAGCCTCGGTTAGCTCATTGGTTAGCCTCGGTTAGCTCATTGGTTAGCCTCGGTTAGCTCATTGGTTAGCCTCGGTTAGCTCATTGGTTAGCCTAGACCGTGGTCCGCCTGTTGCCGACCCCTGCCCCTGTGAAAGGGCCCTTTGGATCCAGAGAGCAGATATGCTCATCTTCTTGAAGAAGAATGCACTGAACTGAGATGGGATTTGTTTTCTTTCATCAGGCAAATGTTGATTTGAATGATGCTATTTGTTGTATGTGCAATGCAGAGATCTCATGATCCTTTGTGTCCTCTGGTCGAATCTCAGGTTGAATATTGATTATACTGGTGCTATTTTCTTTTTGCATTGACAAGATGTACTATTCACGCCTGATGGTTGATATCAATGATATTGCAGAATCTGTTTTCTTCATAGATAACATTGATGTTTTTCATAGTTTGTTCAGTACTAAAAGGTCCAAGTCCCACAATTGAATGTAATATTCATTTGACATGTTCACTACATCATAAAGCGCTTCATGGGAGTAATGGCAGGATGATTCAATTTTTCCCTTATGCAACATGAAAGTATCACGATATGTATCGTTCAGTTGTAACGGTATCGTAAAAAAGTCAACGATATGCAACCCTACTGCAGTACAAGCACCAGCACTGCTGTACAAGTACACATGTTATCATGTGCTTCATATTTAAATCTGATTATTTAGAGTCGTATAAAGTCATGTGACCTGATGTCCTCTCTGTCTCTCCTCAGGTTGACCACGGCTGTGGATCTTCCTCCAGAGTTCATCCACCTCTACATCTCCAACTGCATCTCCACCTGTGAGCAGATCAAGGACAAGTACATGCAGGTAAACAACAACAACAACATGTATTATAAAATAAGGATACAAACAACAACCTCTACTAATTGGGACAGTTAGGTGCCAGCACTCCTTATGCTGCTCCTGCTTTAATGTACTTCATCTCATTAGTGTTCTTGTAGTTGATTTTTTTTAAAAAAACATGTTTATTTTTTCGCCTAGTTTTTTCTCACTAACCCAAAAAACGAAACAAAATAAAGATTGTGGATTTGGTGAATTTGTACATCCCCAGATTCTAATTGTACAGGTCAGATTCACACTAAGAGTTATTATTGAACCCAAATGACTCATAGTTTGTGTTTCTGGTGAAGTATATGTGATGATATGATAATACGTCACCACAGTTGTTGCAGGTAATCAATGAGGTATCGTGTGTTGCAGTCTATAAAGTATATATTCAATGATCCGGGGGTCCTGATAACACCACAGTTGTTGCAGGTAATCGATCAGTAGACGTTGTGTTTCTGGTGAAGTGTATCAATGTTATTTATGCTGAATGTCCCCTCAGAACCGTCTGGTGCGCCTGGTCTGCGTCTTCCTCCAGTCTCTGATCCGGAACAAGATCATCAACGTCCAGGATCTGTTCATCGAGGTGCAGGCCTTCTGCATCGAGTTCAGCCGCATCAGAGAAGCTGCCGGACTGTTCAGGCTGCTGAAGACCCTCGACACCGGAGAGACCCCCGAGAGCAAGCCCGTTAAATAGTGATCTCACAGAGACTGTTCCTGAGACTCAGCACCGCCCCTCCATCAGCTGGGAGTAGAGTTCATTTTGTAAATATTTAGTGACTTTAAACCGGTTCTCTCTCTTTTCCAGAAGTTTAAAACAGGACTCGTTTCACCGTCTCATTTTTTTACCACATCTCTTTTTCTTTGGAAATCTCGCCATGTTGTCTCTGATTAAACAACCGATGTTTAACTGACCCTGTTTGTGCTCTCTTCTTTGGCCCAATCCCAAACCGCCCCCTAGACATTACCCCTACATACTACGGCCCACTCCCAAACCGCCCCCTACACACTACGGCCCACTCCCAAACCGCCCCCTACACACTACCCCTACACACTACGGCCCACTCCCAAACCGCCCCCTACACACTACGGCCCACTCCCAAACCGCCCCCTACACACTACGGCCCACTCCCAAACCGCCCCCTACACACTACGGCCCACTCCCAAACCGCCCCCTACACACTACCCCTACACACTACGGCCCACTCCCAAACCGACCCCTACACACTACGGCCCACTCCCAAACCGCCCCCCTACACACGACGGCCCACTCCCAAACCGCCCCTACACACTACGGCCCACTCCCAAACCGCCCCCTACACACGACGGCCCACTCCCAAACCGCCCCTTACACACGACGGCCCACTCCCAAACCGCCCCCTACACACGACGGCCCACTCCCAAACCGCCCCTTACACACGACGGCCCCTCCCAAACCGCCCCCTACACACGACGGCCCACTCCCAAACCGCCCCCTACACACGACGGCCCACTCCCAAACCGCCCCTTACACACGACGGCCCACTCCCAAACCGCCCCTTACACCCTACCCTTACACACTACCCCTACACACTACCCCGACACACAACGGCCCAATCCCAAACCAACCCTTACACACTACCCCTACACACTACCCCTACACACTACGGCCCACTCCCAAACCGACCCCTACACACAACGGCCCAATCCCAAACCAACCCCATACACACTACCCCTACACACTACCCGTCCGCCACATTAAGTGCTATTCCAAACCAACGGGTGTGGAGGGGGAGTGGGCTATCAAGCCCTCAAACAGCGAGTCTGCATCGGTGCTGACTGGAGACCGGTCTCTACCTGACCGGAGTCACGCTGTGTGTGTCCGTCAGGAAACACGCTGTGTACAAGTAGTTCCAGCAAACATCCACTGATAAACTGCGATGTTAACAACCTCATGATGACCTCATATTTTTTTTGTTATTCATTTACATTTTTTGTCTAAGAGATGCTGATTTGGGAGAGAGAGGGGAGGCCGTCCCAAAGCTTGCGGCTGTATTTACTCCCTCCATCTGACAGGAGGGAGCCTCATGTGTCACTCCACGGAGTTCACTCCATCACGGAGGGGGAGTGTGTAGGGCGTGCTTTGGGATTGGCCTTTAAATCAGGTGTTTCCACTTCCTGTTGGGTATCGTTTGCATTTTAACGATTCCGATTTTGCTTTTCGATTCCGGTTATTTTCGGTTCTCGATTCCGGTTCTTTGAGAGCGTAAAAAATAAGTCCCGTGCCAATTTCACTGGGAGAAAAATATATTTCTGAAAACATTTCGTCAAATCTGTATTCATATTTACAAATCACTTCATACTGTTTAATTTGGTTGTGGTTATTGAATACAATTATATAAAAGTCTTATGACTCATGAGACATGTATATCTGTAGTCCGGAACGACCACAAAACTACTAACATGGCGGCTCGTATAGGAACTTGTTTAATCTTAAAAATACACAGAAAGTTCAGGGAAAGTTTCTGAAAAGATTTCAAGTAAGAATATCTCCACTTCCCTCCGTCAGCGGTCTGATGTCTTCTGAGATTCATTAATGTGGAGCAGATCGTCTTATATCGTCCTCAGCTGTTCATAAAGAAACCATCATGCAGACAGAGCGATAACAAATACTGTTGTTGTGCCCATTTGTATGTTTTTGTTGTTTGTGAGCACTGGATGGCACACAGGGTATTCAGGGCAGTTGTAACGCGACTTTGAGTCCCAGAAAAAAGCTATAAATATAACTTATTATTATTACACGTGGTTAGCGCAGCTTAGCGTAAACAATGGAAACGGGTGGGAACAGCTAGCATCGCTCGGGGTTCAAATTACTAAATGGTAAACGAGCAGCAGCTCTGGAGTGGAGTACACCAGCTGGGCGTAAAAAAAGTAGGTTTTAACTCTAACGTCGGGCTTAGCTACGTCCTACTTAGTGATTCGAATTTACACCGAGTGCACCAAGCCTGACTAGTCTCGGTCGTAGCTGCGCCTGGTCTTAAGATGCGCGTCCACGTGAATACACGCAAAACAGTAATTGTTGCCAAGCAACACACGTCTACATAATTTAACACTCAAACTCCTCCATTCAGAGCAAGCTAAGACTTGGATAACGAAGTCATGGATAACGGAAACCAAAAGAAGAGAGAAATGACGCCCACACCCCAAAAAAGAAAGGGATTTTACAGAGCTACAGCGTGAACTGGTGGAGAAAGAGATCGTTCAGGTGGAGACCGCACGACTGAGAGCGGAACACGACAACATTGAGCTGGAGAAATTAAGACTCCAAATTATAATTCTTAAGAATCAGCAAAGAATCACTGAAGAGGACAATGTGTCATTCACCATTCTCTAATCATATTGTTGTACTTGTTTTTATCTCAATTTCATGTTAATAGTTCTCCAAATGTTTTTTGAATAAAATAGGCTATAAAACGGCCTGATGAAAATATGTGGCGCTGGAGAGCCAAGGAAACTTGTCTAATAGCCCTACATGCAGTTGTGCGATGAACATTAATCATGTCTCCCACAGTATTAAAGTAAAATCTGAGCGCAATCAGCGCCTGCAAGGTTGGGGAGAGCGCAGCGTTTCTGTCTGATCCGTGCTGGAGTTGAGGGGAGATCTCCTCGATTAAATCAAAAAGGGCTTGTCTGCCGAAACGAAACCTCCATCAGCTCACTGAATAGATGTCCAGTGGGTTTGTTCCATCACGGACGACTCTCTCTTCTTAATGCCCTTTCATTGTTAAACCTGTAAACAAGACGCCCTGCCATCGTTAATATCCTTCTTCCCTGTTTTACGTTACTATGGATACTAGTCTGTCTTTCCGATTTACGCCTGCTCCATACTAGGCGTAAAAGTTACACCCGGGCGCAACGCATACAGGGCTTAAGTCTAAGTGGTGCACTAGTCATAACTTTAGTTTGGTCTTAACCTTCGGTTCTATGTCGGACGTAGAGTTACGCCCAGCTGGTGCACTCCACTCCTGAAGCTCACTGATCAATAATAAAGTCTGGTTTGTTTGTTACCATCTGTTCACATGAGTTTTGTCAACATTGTTAGGTCAGAATTCAAACTAAGCTCCAAAATGTCTCCAGAGCTTCTTCAAAATGTGGATTTACTTTAGATGTTAGCACGAGCATCACAGAACACGCTGTTTTGGGGTTTAATAAATGGTATTAATAGCAAGAACGTCTCGGTGGTAATTGGAGAGCGTCTATCTGAAACTCACAGGATCGATCCGTGGTGATGAGGGGCAGAAGTCACCAGAACGTTCTCATCCCTCCCTCGCGCTGAAACGTCACAGATTCAGATCACTGTGGCAGAAAGAGTCATTTAATTATAGGGTGAGATTTATCTGTGATGCTCGGGCTAAAATCTAAAGTAAATCCACATTTTGAAGCAGATATCTTGAAGGAGAATGGGGCATCAGATCATCCATAGGAGCTTAATTTAAATCCTTACCTACCAATATTAACAAGTTTAAAACTCATTACAATACGTCCAATGTGAACTGAACTGCTGCTAATCTAACATTTAGTGATTTTAACCCCGAGAGAGGCTAGCTGTTCCCACCCGTTTCCAGAGTCTATGCTAAGCTAATGAAGTCACTCTAAATGTTAGCTCAGTGATGCCGTTTGTTGTCACCTGACTGTTTCTCTACACTGTGTAACACTAGAGCTGTTACCAAGCAACAACAACACAACTGATTATACAAAAAACTTTATTTATTGCAAACATTTGGTGTAAAAGATTGTGTTTTGAGTGAAAACCCTGAGCAGAGATAAGAAGAGGAACCGTAAACACAGACTTTGAAGCCTCTCAATGTTTGCAGAGGAAATCTCTGGTGGTCCTGTTTCACCCTGAAGTACCTGATTGTATTTATTTAGTAAACATGAGGAACATCACAGCTGCAGATCACAGATGACTGAGCAACATAAACACTTTAAACATCTGTCTTGTTTGGAGTTTTAACCCTGAAGTACCTGACTTTTTATTAATTAACCTCAGTATTGCTAATGTGTTAACGAGGCGGTTTCAGGCCCTCGTCAGGCCCTCGTCAGGCCCTCGTCAGGCCCTCTTCAGGCCCTCTTCAGGCCCTCTTCAGGCCCTCGTCAGGCCCTCTTCATGCCCTCTTCAGGCCCTCTTCATGCCGCGGGCCATCAGGCAGGCGAACACCGTCATCACCATCTTAGGGTTCACCTCCACCAGGTCCTCCGGCAGCGCGTACACTCGGGCGCCCATCTTCCTCGCCATGGAGATAGCATACCTGCAGAAACAGGAAGTGATCACAGGTTCTGTTATTTCACCTGAACAATCTGTACTCACATATCCTTGCCTGCTTCCACTACCTCACAGGATATAGGATACTGTTCATTTAAAGCTACTGTAAACAAGTTTTAAATCTGAATCGGGTTAATTGGCAGGTACATGCACACCTCTGCTGTTCCTGTGAGATATTTCATTCTGTAAGATAAGATAGGACTGTATTTATCCCGAAGGAAATAGTTGTGCCAGAGTTACAAAGAGACAGTAAACAGTGCAGTAAAAACAGTTCATTAAATATCTACAAGAAACACAACTAATGCAAAAAACTGACGAGCAGTAATGAAAAGTGCAAAAAAATGTAGTGGCAGATACGTAATTGCACATTAGTGTTGATATTGCAAATGTTATATAGCAGAGAGTGTTTGTAATGATGGCACACAGTGGGAGGAGTTATAGAGTTTGATGGGAGGAAAGAGCTCCTGTGGTCTCAGTGGTCTCAGTCTACAGCTGAAAGAGCTCCTGTTGGTCTCAGTGGTCTCTGTGGTCTCAGTCTACAGCTGAAAGAGCTCCTGTGGTCTCAGTGGTCTCTGTGGTCTCAGTCTACAGCTGAAAGAGCTCCTGTGGTCTCAGTGGTCTCTGTGGTCTCAGTCTACAGCTGAAAGAGCTCCTGTGGTCTCTGTGGTCTCAGTCTACAGCTGAAAGAGCTCCTGTGGTCTCAGTGGTCTCTGTGGTCTCAGTCTACAGCTGAAAGAGCTCCTGTGGTCTCAGTGGTCTCAGTCTACAGCTGAAAGAGCTCCTGTGGTCTCAGTGGTCTCAGTCTACAGCTGAAAGAGCTCCTGTGGTCTCAGTGGTCTCAGTCTACAGCTGAAAGAGCTCCTGTGGTCTCTGTGGTCTCAGTCTACAGCTGAAAGAGCTCCTGTGGTCTCTGTGGTCTCAGTCTACAGCTGAAAGAGCTCCTGTGGTCTCAGTGGTCTCAGTCTACAGCTGAAAGAGCTCCTGTGGTCTCAGTGGTCCCAGTCTACAGCTGAAAGAGCTCCTGTGGTCTCTGTGGTCTCAGTCTACAGCTGAAAGAGCTCCTGTGGTCTCAGTGGTCCCAGTCTACAGCTGAAAGAGCTCCTGTGGTCTCAGTGGTCTCTGTGGTCTCAGTCTACAGCTGAAAGAGCTCCTGTGGTCTCAGTGGTCTCTGTGGTCCCAGTCTACAGCTGAAAGAGCTCCTGTGGTCTCAGTCTACAGCTGAAAGAGCTCCTGTGGTCTCAGTGGTCTCTGTGGTCTCAGTCTACAGCTGAAAGAGCTCCTGTGGTCTCAGTGGTCTCAGTGGTCCCAGTCTACAGCTGAAAGAGCTCCTGTGGTCTCAGTGGTCTCTGTGGTCCCAGTCTACAGCTGAAAGAGCTCCTGTGGTCTCAGTGGTCTCAGTCTACAGCTGAAAGAGCTCCTGTGGTCTCAGTGGTCTCAGTCTACAGCTGAAAGAGCTCCTGTGGTCTCAGTGGTCTCAGTCTACAGCTGAAAGAGCTCCTGTGGTCTCAGTGGTCTCAGTCTACAGCTGAAAGAGCTCCTGTGGTCTCAGTGGTCTCAGTCTACAGCTGAAAGAGCTCCTGTGGTCTCAGTGGTCTCTGTGGTCTCAGTCTACAGCTGAAAGAGCTCCTGTGGTCTCAGTGGTCTCAGTCTACAGCTGAAAGAGCTCCTGTGGTCTCAGTGGTCCCAGTCTACAGCTGAAAGAGCTCCTGTGGTCTCTGTGGTCTCAGTCTACAGCTGAAAGAGCTCCTGTGGTCTCAGTGGTCTCAGTCTACAGCTGAAAGAGCTCCTGTGGTCTCAGTGGTCTCTGTGGTCTCAGTCTACAGCTGAAAGAGCTCCTGTGGTCTCAGTGGTCTCAGTCTACAGCTGAAAGAGCTCCTGTGGTCTCAGTGGTCTCTGTGGTCTCAGTCTACAGCTGAAAGAGCTCCTGTGGTCTCTGTGGTCTCAGTCTACAGCTGAAAGAGCTCCTGTGGTCTCAGTGGTCTCAGTGGTCTCAGTCTACAGCTGAAAGAGCTCCTGTGGTCTCTGTGGTCTCAGTCTACAGCTGAAAGAGCTCCTGTGGTCTCTGTGGTCTCAGTCTACAGCTGAAAGAGCTCCTGTGGTCTCAGTGGTCCCAGTCTACAGCTGAAAGAGCTCCTGTGGTCTCAGTGGTCCCAGTCTACAGCTGAAAGAGCTCCTGTGGTCTCTGTGGTCTCTGTGGTCTCAGTCTACAGCTGAAAGAGCTCCTGTGGTCTCAGTGGTCTCAGTCTACAGCTGAAAGAGCTCCTGTGGTCTCAGTGGTCTCAGTCTACAGCTGAAAGAGCTCCTGTGGTCTCAGTGGTCTCTGTGGTCTCAGTCTACAGCTGAAAGAGCTCCTGTGGTCTCAGTGGTCTCTGTGGTCTCAGTCTACAGCTGAAAGAGCTCCTGTGGTCTCAGTGGTCTCAGTCTACAGCTGAAAGAGCTCCTGTGGTCTCAGTGGTCTCAGTCTACAGCTGAAAGAGCTCCTGTGGTCTCAGTGGTCCCAGTCTACAGCTGAAAGAGCTCCTGTGGTCTCAGTGGTCCCAGTCTACAGCTGAAAGAGCTCCTGTGGTCTCAGTGGTCTCAGTCTACAGCTGAAAGAGCTCCTGTGGTCTCAGTGGTCCCAGTCTACAGCTGAAAGAGCTCCTGTGAATGTGACTCTGAAGTGTTTACTTTGCGTTGTTGAGCTTCTCGTCCTCCGTCAGGTCTTCAGTCTTCAGCAGGTCGTATCTGATTGATCCGGGCTGGATGGAGTCGATCAGGTCCAGGACCGGCATGCTGCTGCTGATCGACGCGTCCTGAGACACAGGAGCAGGGAGAGGGGTTGAGGAGGGGGATTACAGAGTGGTAATTGATAATTGTAAATATAAATATAAATATTGAAAAAAGTAAAAATAAAAGTTTTTTTTTTTTTTTTAAACGATAGCGTTTTTTTAAAGTTACAAAAAAGTTTAGTTAGTAAAGCATGTTGTTAAAAAATGTTTTTTTATAATATGTCTTGTATAAAAACAAAAGTCACATATGTAAACAAGGTTAAAAAAATTAGGAAATCTCGTAAATGTAAAAAAATAAAAAGTCCTAGTATAGTGATTTTAATAAAAAGTAGAAAAAAAGGATAACATTTCATAGTGTAGCATATGGAAATAAAAATCTCAATACTTGATCCTCACACACACAATGATGAATGTTTGGCCCTCATAAGTATGGCAAAACAAACACAGCAAGACACACACATGATTATTATAAATGGTAGAAAAAAGGGTAAAATATAGTCTGGTATGTTTTTAATTTTTTATAATACAATGTAAAAACAAAGGAAAATAAAACAAAAAAAGTCATATGTCCAAAAAGTAAATAAAAGTAAAAATGTCCAGAAAGGTTGAAAGAAAAGTATAGTGTCGAAGAAAGTCAAGGTATGTCCGAAAGAGTTACAAAAAGTTTAAAATAGTCGTAATATAATATGTAAATGGTATTTCAGAAAAAGCTCCTTGAAATAAATATATGTGTGTTTGTTCACCTTGAAGCTGCTGATGGTGGGTTTCCCCGCCTGAGTGAGAGCGTCGTTCACCCAGCACACGATGGTGTCATCCGTCACTTTACGACCGTCGCCCAGATCCTCCAGGATGTTCAGAGTGTACCTGAGGAGACACACCGCCACAATAAAAGATCATGCTGAGGAGACACACTGCCACAATAAAAGATCATGCTGAGGAGACACACCGCCACAATAAAAGATCATGCTGAGGAGACACACCGCCACAATAAAAGATCATGCTGAGGAGACACACCGCCACAATAAAAGATCATGCTGAGTAGACACACCGCCACAATAAAAGATCATCCTGAGGAGACACAGTTTGTTTTTCTTCCACAGAATGGATGGGTTTTGTAGGAGATGTGTTTGAAGGGTTAAAGAGCTTTGGTTTTAGTTACCTCCTCATGAGCTGCCAGAGCAGAGCGAGGGTGAGCTTTCGATTCCCGGAGTGCAGGTCCTGCCCCGCGATGCCCACCAGAGAGAACTTGGCCTCCTTCTTCCCCAACTCCACCGCGTAGTTACAGTTCTCCAGCTGAAACAGGAGGATTTATCTCTCTGAAGTTACACACTCTTTGATTTTATAGGAATATTTTAACATTTAAAAAACGTGAAAAATGTTTGAAAAAAAGTACAAAAAAAAGTCGAAAAAGGTTATTTTGTCAAAGACAAAAGTTAAGGTATAGATTGTCAAAAGAAGTTTTAATTACAGTCAGTATAGTATGCTGGAAAATAAATATATAGTTAAAAATAAAATGTAAAAAAAAACTAGAAAGCAGAAAAAAAAGTTACAAAAATTAGAAAATAAAAAAAGTCACACTTTAGTATGTCGGAAATAGTATCTGGAAAAAAGTGTAAAAGAAGATAATAGAAGGTTTTGAGATATAGCTATAGTAAGTAAGAAAAAGGAATTAAAAAAGTCATACAAAGTTCATATGTCTCTTTTAATAAAGTAATTGTATGTCGACCAAAAAAACTAGTAGGAAAAGTTAAAGAATAGTATAAAATGTACAACAACCGTAATAGTAGTACGTCAAATAAAGTACAGAACTACATTTAGATTGTGTTGAGATTCAGCATGCGCAGAATACTCAGTATCTGTATTTCGTCACCTTCTTCATGTTGCTTCCCAGTTTGGAGTATGGCGGCTTGTTGACTTTGTCCCAATCCACTGGGACCTTAATCTTCTCGTAGAGCTGGAAGATCACCAGCGCGTCGTCAATGTCCCTGAAACACAACGTAAAGGTCATGTAAGTCATAACAATTACAAGAAAATAACAGCATAATATGTCATTACAAAAAAAGTAATAAGTTATAGAAATCATGAAAAGTCACGGCATAATATGTCGCTAAAAAATACAATAAATGTCACAATAAATCATTTAAAATTGTACCATTCCTTTGTTTTCCTATTTCAAACCATGTCCTCCGCCTGAATGTCTTGCAGTGTTCAGAGACACTATGTATATGTTTATTTAGCTATTTTCTTTATTCATTTTTATTATCGCTATTGAATAAAAATCTCCCATAGTTTCCGTGTGTTTATGTAAATGTATGTATGTGTCTTGGTGTGTTTGTTTTGATACACTTATGAGGACCAAACATTCGTCAATGTGTGTACGCATGTTTGTTTTGCTGTATTTATGAGCATCAAGTATTGAGATATAACCCATTCTGTGTGGACTTTTTGTTTTGTCCTCACCAAAAAATACTGTCTGCCTCAAAATGAACAATACTCAATGTTTTTATATTTTCAGCAACTGTCCTCATAAGAAAAGTAATGGCTTATATATATATTGTTTTCTTACACGTAGAGGTGGTTCACTCGAGGATTCACTCCCAGAGAATTCATCCAGTTCCTGAAGGTCCGCTCCTCCCGGGTCTCACCTGGAAAACATCCGGAAACATCAGAACACTGAAGAGAATATAAACGCTCTGTTCTGATATGAACTCTAATATAATAATAATCTGAAAACAAATAAATGAATCATCAACAATAATAATAATATTTATATAAAGCTTTTAAATTATTATTCCCCTGGACCGGTCTGTAATATTCAAACTAAAATATTTTATATATAATAAACCAATATGGTAAATCTTTTAAAAGGACAGAAAGTAATAATCATAACAAAAACAATTATTATTATTTATAAACATTTTACTTTCTAAACTTGTATTATCTTTTACAATTTAAGTTTTTGTATTAGTTTTCATTTTTGTTTTAAAGTATTTATTCATAATTTGACTATATAATATTTTTGTATTATCATTATTTTAAATGTTATTTGTTTCATGCATTTTGTCATTATTTCCCAGATGTCTGATCCTGTTAATGTGGGACAATAAATAATCTGTATTAGCAGCTATCTAATATGTATATGTTTTTGGTGAGATAATATATATATATATATATATATATATATATATATATATATATATAGATATATGGTGAGAGTTTTCAGAAACAGACGGGGATAAACGAACCCTCGATGGAGCTCCAGTCGATGTCCACGTTCTCGGGTTTCTTCAGCGCCGGGTATTTGTTGAACAGGTTAGCAACGAAGGCCAGGTTGAGTTTGGGGTTGCCGCGGACGACGTCTGTCGGCATGACGAACTGTCTGCAGCCAAGCCGGTCAGCCTGCTGCAACATCATCTCCGCTCTCTGCACATCGTCCTTCTCCTGTAGGGCGCAGTAAAGAGCTTTAATATCATTTATATACAGAGATTTATTATTAATTTAAAACACGTCCTCCTTCTCCTGTAGGGGGCAGCAAAGAGCTTTAATATCATTTATATACAGAGATTTATTATTAATTTAAAACACGTCCTCCTTCTCCTGTAGGGCGCAGTAAAGAGCTTTAATATCATTTATATACAGAGATTTATTATTAATTTAAAACACGTCCTCCTTCTCCTGTAGGGGGCAGCAAAGAGCTTTAATATCATTTATATACAGAGATTTATTATTAATTATTTATTAACAAAACATATTTAATATCACCTCTTTGAGTATCTATAAATGATAATTATTAAAACACTTATTTAATATTTTATTATTATTAGTTTTATTTTCTCATTTCATTGTTAGGTATTATATATTTAGTTTTATTTTTGTACTTTGTGATTAGAGGGTAAAGCAATATGTATAATTTCCAATAATGCACCGAGGTGGATGCAGTGAGAGCACTTTTAAAAATACTGCACAGAGAGAGAGAGATTTTATATAAGAAAAATCTTGGACATTCTCTGATATTTATAAACAGAATGACAAATATTTGCCTCACACGACAACACTCTAAATCTTGCTCAGTATATGTGTCTAATATCTAGTCAGAATACGTCTCTCCGCCTGATATAAGACATGACAACTTCAGAAGTAACACTGCTGTGAGATATCGGGTCTTGTTTTTAGACAATGCATCATCTTGTTAAGTCAAATCATCTTATTTTGAGTTGTATCTCAGATGAAACACATAACATCTCCTGATTCTGGTCAAATATAGTTCAAAATGAGTTCTCCCAGCTAATTATAAGATCTGATTTATCTAAATATCCCATCTTATTTCAAGACATCTTACAAATGTTCACTTGATCTATTGGCAGACTTTTGTACTTATTTCAAGGGAAAACACCTGTTTTCGTTATTGTTTTACTTGTTTTTGGAGCAGCATTTTCTCCAGTGCAGGACTAAATGACGGTGTAATGGAGCCATTGCAAGTTTAAAAAAGCCAAGATTAAAACAATACATTTATATTATTTAGTATTATGGTATATTATGTCATTAAAAAGTAAAGAAAAGGTGTAGAAAAGTATATTAGGATGAGGTTTATAAACAGATATCATGGAATAAAAGTGTGATCTTGTGTCTGACCCTGAGTCCGGACACATCGATGGCGATGGGGGGGATCCCCTCCTCGTCTCCTTTCGGGGCGACCTGGTTCAGGATGCTGTAGTACGCCTTCGAGTCCTGAAACACAAGAAATATAAACAATATATTTGAATCCGTCTTTGAAATAAGATAGAATATCATGTAGTTTCCTTGATTTTTCACTTCTTGTTTATTATTTAAAATGGTACATTCTGGCTTTTTTATCATTTATTTAGCTTTTGAATAAAAATCTCCCATCTTTTCTGTCCGTTTATGAAAATGTATGTATGTGTCTTGGTGTGTTTGTTTTGCTATACTTATGAGGACCAAACATTCATCAATGTGTGTAGGCATGTTTGTTTTGCTGTATTTATGAGGATCAAGTATTGAGATATAACCTGTTCTGTGAGGACTTTTTGTTTTGTCCTCACCAAAAAATACAGTTACGGGCCCAGGATGAACAATACTCAATGTTTTGATATTTTCAGCAACAGTCCTCTTAAGAAAAGTAATGGCTCCCCCTAGAGGACATATGTTTGTACTACAGCTGACATGTTTTCAGAATCAGGTTTATTGCAAAGTAGGTTTACACATACGAGGTATATATGGATCATACATAAACACGGTTAAAGAAGATCAATTGTAAGAAAAACTACCCAAAAAAAACTATTTAAAAAAATGATTATAACATTAAAATATAGAAAATGATTTACAAAATCATACTAAATAAAATAATTTGTATTAATTGTGTGTGTGGTGTGTGTGTGTGTGTGTGTGTGTGTGTGTGTGTGTGTGTGTGTGTGTGTGTGTGTGTGGTGTGTGTGTGTGTGTGTGTGTGTGTGTGTGTACCTTGATGTCGGAGCTGAAGTTGTTGATCTTACTGCAGCCGGCCTCCTCCAGGTGGAAGTTGGCCCAGCGCAGCAGCAGCTCTTCGGGGGAAAGTTTCATCAGATCCTCCAGAGACTCTCCGTCACGCAGAAGAGCGATCAGAGCTATACACACACACACACACACACACACACACACACACACACACACACACACACACACACACACACACACACACACACACACACACACACACACAAAGGAAGGGAAACAAATCAGTGTATTTCCCAAAATGTTGAACTACTCCAATAACACTACATAACATCAAAGACTAAAACACCCCTGTTGTGCAACACTACTTGTGTAAATAAATACTGTATATATAGCGCTTCATAATTATTGTTATTAGTGGCTGCTGTCTCTTAGATAGACAATTTAACTTCTGTAAATAACTGTTCAATATATACTTACACTGTGAATACTATCACAGCTGCTATCACACCACGTTATACATGTTACACTTACTGGTACTAGATGTGTATTTAATAAATTGTCTTCATTATTTTCAAGCTGTCTTTGGCTCTTTACTTGCTGTAACCGTAAATGTCCCCTCTGTGGGACGGCTGAAGTTATTCTGATTTGATTTACATGTGTGTAGACTTTTTGCACTACTTTGTATTTTAGTATTTTATTATATATGTTGCATTGTTGGAGGAGCTCAGGTCAGAAGATTTGCATTGCCATTTCTCCACTGAAGCTGCTGAGCATATGACAATAAAACCTTTGCATTTAATTTAATTATTTTAAAGTTGTTATGGCTATGGGTTAGGTTAGGTGCAGTTGTTATTAATATTAACCTTCGTTCCTGCTGAGCTCCATGTCTGCATGCTTCTTAATTATTTTCAAGCTGTCTTTGCTCTTGCTGTACATTTATTTGGTAAAAAGGTATTCTGATTCGTTTTTAAGGCTATACTTTGTGCTGCAGCTATGTTTGACTTTGTTATTAGTATTTCGCCCCCTCGCCTTCGTTCCTGCTGAGCTCGATGTATGCATGCTTCTTAATTATTTTCAAGCTATCTTTGGCTCTTTACCTACTGTAATAATGTGAATTGACCCTCTATGGGGCGACTAAAGGTATTCTGATTTGTTTGTAAGCCTATACTTCGTGCTGCAGTTGTATTTGACTTTGTTATTGATACTAACCTTCGTTCCTGCTGAGCTCGATGTCAGCGAACAGCCCGATCTTGATGACCTGCCACAGCAGACCCAGGACCAGGTGCTGCCGGCCCTCCTTCAGGTCTTCCGCCCCTATGTTGACCACGTGGCAGCCAATGGCTGACGACGAGTTCAGAGCCAGGTTCAGGTTCTCCTGCAGATCAGAGACCCCAAGATTCAAAGGTTTTATTGTCATATGCACAAAGCTAAACAATTGTTAAATACCAACCAATAAGCAATATATACATATATATATATATATATATATATATATATATATACATATATATACAGTACATTGACTACAGGTCTTTGAAGATCTGGAAAGATTCACCAAAAACCAAACTAGTTTTTTAGTGACCAAATAAACAGCAATGTTCAGATAAATTACCTATTTATGTTTTGAATAAAGGTGAATGTATTGTTTTATTAATATCACTCTATAACCATAATACGTCTATCTGTTAATTGTGGCTGTGTTTTCACACTAAAATGGTCCTGACGTCCTCTACAGTGGACATACTGTAATATTTAAAAATTAAATTAAAAAAGTCTAAATTACAAGATGTTTTTTTAACCCTAAATAAAAAGATTGGAAAACATATTTTTTCCTCGGTTCCCAGGAGCAAAAGACCCACCTGTTCCGCACCGCATTTTGATGACTTTCCTTTATTTTATTTATTTTTTATTCTTAACCTTTATTTTATGTTAACATTCAATATGCTCCTTAGATCACTTTTTATTTTATTTGTTTTATTATTTTCTCCTCATAGCGTTGCCCTTGAGATTACGTTGTTTTTAAAGTGTGCTATATAAATGAAATGTATTATTATTATTATATATATGCCGTTAATAACTGTGCAATATATACCTAAAATACAAAAATACAGAATAAAAAGTAGAGCAAAAAGTCTACATAGAGCATTAAATGAAAGAGCCGGAAACACAGCACCTTGTAGTAACTGATATTTGCACCTTCAGAATCTGAGTCATGAAAGGCAGGTTTTCTAAAGATCGTGGTTTCTTCTCTGAGGCCACGTTGTTCTGGTGTCTGACAGAAAACACTTCACTAAAAAACATCTGATTGATATTTATTTTCTTTTGGATTCATTTGCATTGCATTTGATATTGAGGTAATCCAAAAGTAATGAGATTACTTTTATATTTTGATGCTCAGACATTTTTTTTAGAGGTTTCTAGTAATTATAACGGATTACTCTGGTTATGATGTGAAGGGATGAATATCTGCTGTAATGCAGGAGATGATGGACGTGCTAACAAACTCAATGAATATATATATATATGTATATATATATATATATATATGTATCTACATTAAAGTGTGTGTTACCTGGATGGTGAAGGGAGTGAGTTTCTTCTTGTTGATCGTCCTCTCGTCGATGGTGTCGGGGACGGACAGGTTGATCATCTTACTGACAAGAAAACATTTGAATATGAACACACATTAACAGAGAGAAACACATGTATGGTTTAATGGCTTGATTTTATGTTCTTTCTAAAACTCTTTTTCTTTAATTAAATGTATTATGTTAATAGAGTTCACAAAAATGGTTCAGGTTAGTTCAAAGCAATAACATTACATTAAACTTAATATTATTGCTTTCAACTAAACTGATACAGTTATGTGAAATATAATATATACAACATTTAACTTTATCGTTAGAACTTAGAAAAAGCTGCAGCTGTATTTATTGTTGTGCTTCTGGATACTTTTCTAATATTTCATGCCTGCCTCTTTATTAATACTTAGCCTCTTTACTTTTGCTGTCACAATATAAACGTCTCCTCTGTGGGAATAACAAAGGTCTCTTTCTGTTTCTGATTGATTGTGCGTTGTACCAGAGCACGATGCCGTCCCCCATGGCGGTGAACAGGTCGTCGGTGTGGGGGTCCATCGGCAGGACGTGTTTACAGTCAGCATCTTTCTCCAGAGCTTTATTGATCCAGTTCACAAACGCCACCTTCTCCTCCTCTGCGGGAAACAAACCACAGTCACACCTCCTTCTCCTCCTCTGCGGGAAACAAACCACAGTCACACCAACTCCTCTGCGGGAAACAAACCACAGTCACACCTCCTTCTCCTCCTCTGCGGGAAACAAACCACAGTCACACCTCCTTCTCCTCCTCTGCGGGAAACAAACCACAGTCACACCAACTCCTCTGCGGGAAACAAATCACAGTCACACCAACTCCTCTGCGGGAAACAAACCACAGTCACACCAACTCCTCTGCGGGAAACAAACCACAGTCACACCTCCTTCTCCTCCTCTGCGGGAAACAAACCACAGTCACACCAACTCCTCTGCGGGAAACAAACCACAGTCACACCTCCTTCTCCTCCTCTGCGGGAAACAAACCACAGTCACACCAACTCCTCTGCACGGGAAACAAACCACAGTCACACCAACTCCTCTGAACGGGAAACAAACCACAGTCACACCAACTCCTCTGCACCTGAAACAAACCACAGTCACACCAACTCCTCTGCACCTGAAACAAACCAGAGTCACACCAACTCCTCTGCATGGGAAACAAACCACAGTCACACCAACTCCTCTGCACGGGAAACAAACCACAGTCACACCAGCTCCTCTGCACGGGAAACAAACCACAGTCACACCAACTCCTCTGCACGGGAAACAAACCACAGTCACACCAGCTCCTCTGCATGGGAAACAAACCACAGTCACACCAACTCCTCTGCGCGGGAAACAAACCACAGTCACACCTTCTCCTCTGCGCGGGAAACAAACCACAGTCCCACCTTCTCCTCTGCATGGGAAACAAACTACAGTCACACCAACTCCTCTGCACCTGAAACAAACCACAGTCACACCAACTCCTCTGCACGGGAAACAAACCACAGTCACACCTTCTCCTCTGCACGGGAAACAAACCACAGTCCCACCTTCTCCTCTGCGCGGGAAACAAACCACAGTCCCACCTTCTCCTCTGCGCGGGAAACAAACCACAGTCCCACCTTCTCCTCTGCACGGGAAACAAACCACAGTCCCACCTTCTCCTCTGCACGGGAAACAAACCACAGTCACACCAACTCCCCTGCACCTGAAACAAACCACAGTCACACCAACTCCTCTGCACGGGAAACAAACCACAGTCACACCTTCTCCTCTGCGCGGGAAACAAACCACAGTCACACCAACTCCTCTGCACCTGAAACAAACCACAGTCACACCAACTCCTCTGCACGGGAAACAAACCACAGTCACACCTTCTCCTCTGCACGGGAAACAAACCACAGTCACACCAACTCCTCTGCACCTGAAACAAACCACAGTCACACCAACTCCTCTGCACGGGAAACAAACCACAGTCACACCAACTCCTCTGCGCGGGAAACAAACCACAGTCACACCTTCTCCTCTGCGCGGGAAACAAACCACAGTCCCACCAACTCCTCTGCACGGGAAACAAACCACAGTCACACCTTCTCCTCTGCGCGGGAAACAAACCACAGTCACACCAACTCCTCTGCACGGGAAACAAACCACAGTCACACCAACTCCTCTGCGCGGGAAACAAACCACAGTCACACCTTCTCCTCTGCACGGGAAACAAACCACAGTCACACCAGCTCCTCTGCACGGGAAACAAACCACAGTCACACCAGCTCCTCTGCACGGGAAACAAACCACAGTCACACCAACTCCTCTGCACGGGAAACAAACCACAGTCACACCTTCTCCTCTGCACGGGAAACAAACCACAGTCACACCAGCTCCTCTGCACGGGAAACAAACCACAGTCACACCAGCTCCTCTGCACGGGAAACAAACCACAGTCACACCAACTCCTCTGCACGGGAAACAAACCACAGTCACACCAGCTCCTCTGCATGGGAAACAAACCACAGTCACACCAACTCCTCTGCGCGGGAAACAAACCACAGTCACACCTTCTCCTCTGCGCGGGAAACAAACCACAGTCCCACCTTCTCCTCTGCATGGGAAACAAACTACAGTCACACCAACTCCTCTGCACCTGAAACAAACCACAGTCACACCAACTCCTCTGCACGGGAAACAAACCACAGTCACACCTTCTCCTCTGCACGGGAAACAAACCACAGTCACACCTTCTCCTCTGCGCGGGAAACAAACCACAGTCCCACCTTCTCCTCTGCGCGGGAAACAAACCACAGTCCCACCTTCTCCTCTGCACGGGAAACAACCACAGTCCCACCTTCTCCTCTGCACGGGAAACAAACCACAGTCACACCAACTCCCCTGCACCTGAAACAAACCACAGTCACACCTACTCCTCTGCACGGGAAACAAACCACAGTCACACCTTCTCCTCTGCACGGGAAACAAACCACAGTCACACCAACTCCTCTGCACGGGAAACAACCACAGTCACACCAACTCCTCTGCGCGGGAAACAAACCACAGTCACACCTTCTCCTCTGCACGGGAAACAAACTACAGTCACACCAACTCCTCTGCACGGGAAACAAACCACAGTCACACCTTCTCCTCTGCACTGGAAACAAACCACAGTCACACCAGCTCCTCTGCACGGGAAACAAACCACAGTCACACCTTCTCCTCTGCGCGGGAAACAAACCACAGTCACACCAACTCCTCTGCACGGGAAACAAACCACAGTCACACCTTCTCCTCTGCGCGGGAAACAAACCACAGTCACACCAGCTCCTCTGCATGGGAAACAAACCACAGTCACACCAACTCCTCTGCACGGGAAACAAACCACAGTCACACCTTCTCCTCTGCGCGGGAAACAAACCACAGTCACACCAGCTCCTCTGCACGGGAAACAAACCACAGTCACACCAACTCCTCTGCACGGGAAACAAACCACAGTCCCACCTTCTCCTCTGCACGGGAAACAAACCACAGTCACACCAACTCCCCTGCACCTGAAACAAACCACAGTCACACCAACTCCTCTGCACGGGAAACAAACCACAGTCACACCTTCTCCTCTGCGCGGGAAACAAACCACAGTCACACCAACTCCTCTGCACCTGAAACAAACCACAGTCACACCAACTCCTCTGCACGGGAAACAAACCACAGTCACACCTTCTCCTCTGCACGGGAAACAAACCACAGTCACACCAACTCCTCTGCACCTGAAACAAACCACAGTCACACCAACTCCTCTGCACGGGAAACAAACCACAGTCACACCAACTCCTCTGCGCGGGAAACAAACCACAGTCACACCTTCTCCTCTGCGCGGGAAACAAACCACAGTCCCACCAACTCCTCTGCACGGGAAACAAACCACAGTCACACCTTCTCCTCTGCGCGGGAAACAAACCACAGTCACACCAACTCCTCTGCACGGGAAACAAACCACAGTCACACCAACTCCTCTGCACGGGAAACAAACCACAGTCACACCTTCTCCTCTGCACGGGAAACAAACCACAGTCACACCAGCTCCTCTGCACGGGAAACAAACCACAGTCACACCAGCTCCTCTGCACGGGAAACAAACCACAGTCACACCAACTCCCTCTGCACGGGAAACAAACCACAGTCACACCTTCTCCTCTGCACGGGAAACAAACCACAGTCACACCAGCTCCTCTGCACGGGAAACAAACCACAGTCACACCAGCTCCTCTGCACGGGAAACAAACCACAGTCACACCAACTCCTCTGCACGGGAAACAAACCACAGTCACACCAGCTCCTCTGCATGGGAAACAAACCACAGTCACACCAACTCCTCTGCGCGGGAAACAAACCACAGTCACACCTTCTCCTCTGCGCGGGAAACAAACCACAGTCCCACCTTCTCCTCTGCATGGGAAACAAACTACAGTCACACCAACTCCTCTGCACCTGAAACAAACCACAGTCACACCAACTCCTCTGCACGGGAAACAAACCACAGTCACACCTTCTCCTCTGCACGGGAAACAAACCACAGTCCCACCTTCTCCTCTGCGCGGGAAACAAACCACAGTCCCACCTTCTCCTCTGCGCGGGAAACAAACCACAGTCCCACCTTCTCCTCTGCACGGGAAACAAACCACAGTCCCACCTTCTCCTCTGCACGGGAAACAAACCACAGTCACACCAACTCCCCTGCACCTGAAACAAACCACAGTCACACCTACTCCTCTGCACGGGAAACAAACCACAGTCACACCTTCTCCTCTGCACGGGAAACAAACCACAGTCACACCAATTCCTCTGCACGGGAAACAAACCACAGTCACACCAACTCCTCTGCGCGGGAAACAAACCACAGTCACACCTTCTCCTCTGCACGGGAAACAAACTACAGTCACACCAACTCCTCTGCACGGGAAACAAACCACAGTCACACCTTCTCCTCTGCACTGGAAACAAACCACAGTCACACCAGCTCCTCTGCACGGGAAACAAACCACAGTCACACCTTCTCCTCTGCGCGGGAAACAAACCACAGTCACACCAACTCCTCTGCACGGGAAACAAACCACAGTCACACCTTCTCCTCTGCGCGGGAAACAAACCACAGTCACACCAGCTCCTCTGCATGGGAAACAAACCACAGTCACACCAACTCCTCTGCACGGGAAACAAACCACAGTCACACCTTCTCCTCTGCGCGGGAAACAAACCACAGTCACACCAGCTCCTCTGCACGGGAAACAAACCACAGTCACACCAACTCCTCTGCACGGGAAACAAACCACAGTCACACCAACTCCTCTGCATGGGAAACAAACCACAGTCACACCAGCTCCTCTGCACGGGAAACAAACCACAGTCACACCAGCTCCTCTGCACAGGAAACAAACCACAGTCACACCAACTCCTCTGCGCGGGAAACAAACCACAGTCACACCTTCTCCTCTGCGCGGGAAACAAACCACAGTCACACCAACTCCTCTGCACGGGAAACAAACTACAGTCACACCAACTCCTCTGCACGGGAAACAAACCACAGTCACACCAACTCCTCTGCACGGGAAACAAACTACAGTCACACCTACTCCTCTGCGCGGGAAACAAACCACAGTCACACCAACTCCTCTGCACGGGAAACAAACCACAGTCACACCAACTCCTCTACACGGGAAACAAACCACAGTCACACCAACTCCTCTGCACGGGAAACAAACCACAGTCACACCAACTCCTCTGCACCTGAAACAAACCACAGTCACACCAACTCCTCTGCGCGGGAAACAAACCACAGTCACACCTTCTCCTCTGCACGGGAAACAAACCATAGTCACACCAACTCCTCTGCACCTGAAACAAACCACAGTCACACCAACTCCTCTGCACCTGAAACAAACCACAGTCACACCAACTCCTCTGCACGGGAAACAAACCACAGTCACACCTTCTCCTCTGCATGGGAAACAAACCACAGTCACACCAACTCCTCTGCACGGGAAACAAACCACAGTCACACCAACTCCTCTGCACCTGAAACAAACCACAGTCACACCTTCTCCTCTGCGGGAAACAAACCACAGTCACACCTTCTCCTCTGCGGGAAACAAACCACAGTCACACCTTCTCCTCTGCGGGAAACAAACCACAGTCACACCTTCTCCTCTGCACGGGAAACAAACCACAGTCACACCTTCTCCTCTGTACCTGAAACAAACCACAGTCACACCTTCTCCTCTGCGGGAAACAAACCACAGTCACACCAACTCCTCTGCACCTGAAACAAACCACAGTCACACCAACTCCTCTGCACCTGAAACAAACCACAGTCACACCTTCTCCTCTGCACGGGAAACAAACCACAGTCACACCTTCTCCTCTGCACCTGAAACAAACCACAGTCACACCTTCTCCTCTGCGGGAAACAAACCACAGTCACACCAACTCCTCTGCACGGGAAACAAACCACAGTCACACCAACTCCTCTGCACCTGAAACAAACCACAGTCACACCAACTCCTCTGCACCTGAAACAAACCACAGTCACACCAACTCCTCTGCACCTGAAACAAACCACAGTCACACCTTCTCCTCTGCACGGGAAACAAACCACAGTCACACCAGCTCCTCTGCACCTGAAACAAACCACAGTCACACCAACTCCTCTGCACCTGAAACAAACCACAGTCACACCAACTCCTCTGCACGGGAAACAAACCACAGTCACACCAGCTCCTCTGCACCTGAAACAAACCACAGTCACACCAACTCCTCTGCACGGGAAACAAACCACAGTCACACCAACTCCTCTGCACCTGAAACAAACCACAGTCACACCAACTCCTCTGCACGGGAAACAAACCACAGTCACACCAACTCCTCTGCACGGGAAACAAACCACAGTCACACCAGCTCCTCTGCACCTGAAATATATACTCTCTTGCAAGATTTAAGGTTGTTATTGTCATTCTACAGTGAAGTTATGTCAATGGAAATCTGAGGCTCCTGCAACAGAGCAACACAATACAACAGATACAATAGTGCAAGTAAATACAAATTAAAACAAATAAAGTCGAATAGAAATAGTGCAATCAGAGTCTACAAGTAATATAGAGTCTGATTGCACTATTTATATTCTATTTGATTTGTTTTTATGTTACTATTGGCTGCTGCCAAGATAGAAAATCCACAGCCTTGATTTCATTTTAGCAACATGTAGTTTCCTTGATTTTAAATGTGTTGTTTATTATTTTAAATTGTGCTTTCATGTATGTTATCGTTAATTATCGGTATTGAATAAAAATCTCCCACAGTTTCCGTGTGTTTATGTAAATGTATGTGTGTGTCTTGGTGTGTTTGTTTTGCTATACTTATGAGGACCAAACATTCGTCATTGTGTGTACGGATGTTTGTTTTGCTGAAAATCTTGCATAGTTTAAATATAGAAAATGTGAATATCAATAATATGTTTAGTACCTGAGTAAGAGTGCTGCGTTCCCGACTGCTCCGACGTTCCCGCCACGTTCCTGAGTCCCTCTTTCTTATTGATGGCTTTCCGGAAGGTCTTGGCCACATCGCTGCTCTTCAGCCCGTGCACTATCTGGAGGGCGAGAATACACGTGTTTAAATATATAGAATAACAAAGAAACGCCATACTGTATATACTTTACTTTTACCATGCATACATGTTGGCTGCTACTACTTGTTTATGTTCACATCGTTTTTTTTTTTTAAATCTGCTACTTTCTACAATAGATGTATTCAATGAAGGCGTGGCTGACTCTTTGATATGTTCGTGTTCTGTTTTATTTAGCCTTGGAAATGCACCCTGCTCTCTGATTTCTGAAAAACACACTTTCAAAAAAAAGTGTATGAATTGAATTTGAGTTGAGGCTAAAACTTGCCATATATTAAGATTTCAAATGAATTAAATAATTATAAATATTTGAACCTAGTAGTCTAATAACCACTTACTCAGCAGTGAGTAATAAGTAAAGTAAGACATTACTATTTTTAAATGACCCAGTGAGAGCCTTTTCATTTCGAGCACCTCTCCTTTGGAATCGTCTTCCATTTCAGATCCAAAGCTATTTCCGTCTCTTCATCGTCTTCCTTGTTTCCATCTTCATGAGCATCACTTCAGTCTCGTGCTTTTATCACATGGCAATACTAATGTTGACGTATAATGTTATATACTTTCTACTTCTTACATGTTGAACTCAAATACTACTCAATACCTGTACTTTCTACTTCTTACATGTTGAACTCAAATACCTGTACTTTCTACTTCTTACATGTTGAACACAAATACCTGTACTTTCTACTTCTTCAATGTTGAACCCAAATACCTGTACTTTCTACTTCTACATGTTGAACTCAAATACCTGTACTTTCTACTTCTTACATGTTGAACTCAATACCTGTACTTTCTACTTCTTACATGTTGAACTCAAATACCTGTACTTTCTACTTCTCAACATGTTGAACACAAATACCTGTTACTTTCTACTTCTTACATGTTGAACCCAAATACCTGTACTTTCTACTTCTTACATGTTGAACTCAAATACCTGTACTTTCTACTATCTACATGTTGAACCCAAATACTGTACTTTCTACTTCTTACATGTTGAACTCAAATACCTGTACTTTCTACTTCTTACATGTTGAACTCAAATACCTGTACTTTCTACTTCTTACATGTTGAACTCAAATACCTGTACTTTCTACTTCTACATGTTTGAACAAACCCAAATACCGTGTACTTTCTTACTTCTACATGTTGAACACAAATACCTGTACTTTCTACTACTGATCTTACATGGTTTGAACTCAAAATACCTGTACTTTCGACTTCTTACATGTTGAACTAAATACACTGCTACTTTCTTTACTCTTCTGACATGTTTGACCACACATACCTGTCCTTTCTACTTCTGACATGTTTGAACTCAAATACCTGTACTTTCTAACTTCTCACATGGTGAAACCCCAAAATACCTGTACTTTCTACTTCTGACATGTTGAACCTAATACCTGTACTTTCTACCTTCTCACTATGTTGAACACAAATACCTGTATTATCTACTTCTCACATGTTGAAACCCAAATACCTGTACTTTCTAACTTCTTACATGTTGAAACCAAATACCTGTACTTTTGCTACTTCTGACATTGTTGAACTCAAATACCTGTACTGTCCTACTTTCTTAACATGTTTGAACCCAAATACCTGTACTTTCTACTCTACATGTTGAACTCAAATACCTGTACTTTCTACTTCTTACATGTTGAATCAAATACCTGTACTTTCTACTTCTTACATTGAACTCAAATACCTGTACTTTCTACTTCTTACATGTTGAACCCAAATACCTGTACTTTCTACTTCTTACATGTTGAACACAAATACCTGTACTTTCTACTTCTTACATGTTGAACTCAAATACCTGTACTTTCTACTTCTTACATGTTGAACTCAAATACCTGTACTTTTACTTCTGACATGTTGAAACACAAATACCTGTACTTTCTACTTCTTACATGTTGAACTCAAATACCTGTACTTTCTACTTCTCACATGTTGAACCCAAATACCTGTACTTTCTACTTCTCACATGTTGAACACAAATACCTGTACTTTCTACTTCTCACATGTTGAACACAAATACCTGTAATTTATACTTCTCACATGTTGAACACAAATACCTGTACTTTCTACTTCTTACATGTTGAACTCAAATACCTGTACTTCTACTTCTTACATGTTGAACTCAAATACCTGTACTTTCTACTTCCTACATGTTGAACCCAAATACCTGTACTTTCTATTACATGTTGAACTCAAATACCTGTACTTTCTACTTCTTACATGTTGAACTCAATACCTGTACTTTCTACTTCTCACATGTTGAAACTCAAATACCTGTACTTTCTATTCTCACATGTTGAACACAAATACCTGTACTTTTCTACTTCTTACATGTTGAACCCAAATACCTGTACTTTCTACTTCTTACATGAACTCAAATACCTGTACTTTCTCTTACATGTTGAACAATACCTGTACTTTCTACTTCTTACATGTTGAACTCAAATACCTGTACTTTCTACTTCTTACATGTTGAACACAAATACCTGTACTTTCTACTTCTTACATGTTGAACCCAATACCTGTACTTTCTACTTCTTACATGTTGAACTCAAATACCTGTACTTTCTACTTCTTACATGTTGAACTCAAATACCTGTACTTTCTACTTCTTACATGTTGAACTCAAATACCTGTACTTTCTACTTCTTACATGTTGAACTCAAATACCTGTACTTTCTACTTCTCACATGTTGAACACAAATACCTGTACTTTCTACTTCTTACATGTTGAACTCAAATACCTGTACTTTCTACTTCTTACATGTTGAACTCAAATACCTGTACTTTCTACTTCTTACCTGTTGAACCCAAATACCTGTACTTTCTACTTCTTACATGTTGAAACTCAAATACCTGTACTTTCTACTTACATGTGAACACAAATACCTGTACTTTCTACTTCTTACATGTTGAACTCAAATACCTGTACTTTCTACTTCTTACATGTTGAACACAAATACCTGTATTTACTTCTTACATGTTGAACTAAAATACCTGTACTTTCTACTTCTACATGTTGAACTCAAAATACCTGTACTTTCTACTTCTTACATGTTGAACTCAAATACCTGTACTTTCTACTTCTCACATGTTGAACACAAATACCTGTATTTTACTTCTCACATGTTGAACACAAATACCTGTACTTTCTACTTCTTACATGTTGAACACAAATACCTGTACTTTCTACTTCTTACATGTTGAACCCAAATAAGTACTTTCTACTCTTACATGTGAACTCAAATACCTGTACTTTCTACTTCTTACATGTTGAACACAAATACCTGTACTTTACTTCTTACATGTTGAACCAAATACCTGTACTTTCTACTTCTTACATGTTGAACCAAATACCTGTACTTTCTACTTCTTAATGTGAACTCAAATACCTGTACTTTAGTCTTACATGTTGAACCCAAATACCTGTACGTTTACTTCTACATGTTGAACTCAAATACCTGTACTTCTACTTCTTAAATGTTGAAACAAATACCTGTACTTTATTCACATGTTGAACCCAAATACCTGTACTTTCTACTTCTTACATGTTGAACAAATACCTGTACTTTCTACTTCTTACATGTTGAACACAATACCTGTACTTCTACTTCTTACATGTTGAACCCAAATACCTGTACTTTTACTTTTATGTGACCCAAATACTGTACTTTCTACTTCT